CTGTTACGACCTAATCCTAAGTATACTTTACGATTTAAAAACCGCCCGATATATTAGCTCATATCCTCATTTTGAATACCTTGCCCGCGTAAAGAGTACTTTCGACCAATGAATCGAATATAACTTATGAATAGCTTGAAAATTTGAGGAGATATTTTGCTCACAATTTATACTAGCTAAGACTAAGATTCTCTGAAATTTTGGTTGAAATCGGATGAAAAATAAAAATGTTTACTTCTGAGGCGTGGGTTCTTCTTAACATGTCTTGAAAGCAATCAAAGTCTTAAAATAAATTATTATTATCGTTCGGATATAAGATGGATTTGGTGAAAGAGAACTAGATATTTACGGTAGATACTGACTATCTGATTGTTGTTTTTTTTTCTGTTATTGATAAACTAATACTCATAATGCATGAGCAAGGATAATCGATTTGAGCTTAGTTATGAAGGATTTTAATTAAACTCAAAGCGAGTTTTCAAAGAGGTCTCTATCATAATTTATAGTGGTAATTCAATTTTTATTGCGAGTGTAAGGTGAGTGGATGCAGGTGTGTTTCTGAAGAAAAATCACTCATCAACATATATATTTCAAATTCGTGTTTTTTTGAATGTCATTTTCTGTATTTTTATTTTTGTAATAACAATTATGTCTGGCAAACTCTATAAATTGCAGTTAATTAAGAAGAAAGAGAAAAGAACAGTAGTTTAGGACGCTGTACAAATTACAGCTCATTAAGGCCTCCTTCCACCTCCAAAAATCATATTTTTCGGAAAAATATCAAAGTTGAGTTTTTGTTGTAGGAAGATGCGCTGAAATGTTCTCTTTCAGATTACGTCTTGAATTTCAGAAAACAAGCAAGTTTTAGTTGTTCTCAGTCATCTTTTTTTGTAACTACGCAGCCTTTTTTTGAGACTTCCATGAATTTTCTGGAGACTCTCACCGATTTTCGGAATTTCCGTAGAAAATCAATTATACTATCGTGTTCAGCATGTCAAGTTACGTTTGTGTTCAAATTTTCATAAAGAAATGTGGTTACTGTGATGAGTTATAAAAGTTTTTTGGTCTACAGTGACACCTATAGTGACACATACCTTCGTTATTAAAAACCTTCTCTCCTGTTTATCCAACGGTCGAAAATTCTGAAATTTTGACTATGAAGATTTCTCTTCACGCTTGGTATGCTACCACTGTCAAATTTCAAGAAAACCTCTAGGACTCTTGTTTTCTTCAGATTGTGTGTAACAACGGTTTTGAACTTGTTCATCGATTTTCTCAGAATTGATTTTTACGGAAGTGGTCGATCTCGGAACAAATTTTTTTTCAATATACTGCAACCTAGAGAGCTATGGTTTTTTTTAATCGATAGATACGTGCATAGTGTTTCAGACGAAGGACAGGGATTTTACATTTAATCCTCAATAGAAGAGTAATCATGAGTTTTCTGAAAAATCTTGCTTAGGATTTTTAGAATTTGAAAATTTTGACAATCTCAAAAATTAAAAAAAAATGAAAATTAAAAAATCCCTTCCCTTCATCCGAAGCAGTAACGAGTAGATTCTTCATGAAGTATATAAATACTATTCATGTTTGTTTTCTTTTTCCTGCAAAATTTCTTTCCTCTAGCATTTTCGTGCCGATGAATATGTATATCCTTCAAGTAGAAGTGATATACAAATAAATGTCGAATCTTTATTTACGTATGTTCAGGTAGTGAATTATTCTACGTTGTTATAAACTAGAATCAAGTCATTTTCGAATAATAAATTTTTTGGAGTTCTTCAATCGATCTTAATGATGAAGTGCTTACCAAACATTTTCCATACCATAAAAGATATTGAATAATTGTAAGTTTGATATTTCTTTTGTTACCTTCAATTATAAAACAAAAACTTAGTCTACCATCATTTGATGAAATATATTAATTGTGCGTAGTTCTTATTGTCTGGAGTTTTTACACAACTGCTTCTATCCATTGTATTCAATGCAGTTAATACGAGCACAACTCGCTCGTCGTTCTTATTGTAAGTTAATCAAAAAATTAATCGGCTCACTCTAAAATCGAATATATGTACAGAATCAATGAAATTTATTGCGTTCGATACAGAATTGAAACCGAATGTGATCATCAACCAAACCTAATATCTTTATTCTGATTATTTTCTTTAGCTAGATCATTTCAATTGTTACACAATGTTCTTTTGTAAATGTAATAGGATGATTAACACCATGAGATTTTACTCAAATCTGTAGCAGATTTTGGCTATCAGTAAATATTTGTTTATTCTAAACGATTGATAGTTTATCAAGATAAGTTTCGTTTATTATTAAAATAATATATTGTCGAACAGATCAATAGAGATTGTTCATTTCTTTCAACTATCATGTATATATTTGGGTCATAAAACTCCGATGAAAAATTTTTTTGTAAAAACAACATTCCAACGCCAACTTTCAGAAAGAAAATGCTATGTTTTGCGTGTAAACGCACTTATAAGAAATCCGTTTTTTTTTGTTGAAAAAGCAAATTGTTCATTAACGCGTTAGAATACATTTTTTTTACAGACAAGCTAAATAAATATTCACATTCGTATTATGAGTAAAACTGCCGTTCTATGAAGTGAAGCTTGCTATCATTTAGGCAAATATTTTGCAGTATCAGACTCAAAAATATACCGCTTAAAGAGATCTTTTATAGAGATGAGTTTTATGAGTATTGTGTAGCAGAATATATTTTAATATTACGAAGGAGAGAAATAGTTGTGTAACAAAAAATAAAGTAATGCAGATGAATTAGAACAACAACGGTCCATTTTTTACTTTAATCACATCTTCATGATGATTAGTGTGTTTTTGCACACACACAGCATTGCATGAAGATAAGAGCGCGTTGATCAAAGTGAAAATGTTCCTAAAAGTTCGAATATGTGTATAGCATTCATTCAACGAATAATGCTCATTGATATACATAGCTTCTTTCGTTCTCTTTAAATACATTTGGCAAGCAATACAGATAATAACTATGATCTTTCATTCTCATTGTCTCTTTTTTTTTCGTCTTTTCACATATTTTCTTTTCTTCTATTCCTTAGACAAGCAACTTCATATATCGTAAAAGCATATATCGATTTTTTCTTTCTTTTATGTTCGTTTTATATAATTGATGAACATATTATGTTACAATGAAGTTGAGTCGAACTAAACAAAGACACATACAGTATTTTTGTTAGATAATTTTTTTTTATAAAAATATTTGTGTTTTTCTGCTTATTGATTAAAAGATTCTTTTTGATGGGTTCTTAGTCGCCCTTTTACAATCTTCTAAATTACCTGACAATAGATAGCATCCATAGAGATAAATGATATACATATACCGGGTGGCCCAAAAGTAAGGAAAAATAATGAGTATCCTAGAATAACTGATGAAAAACGGTTAATGATATTTTTCATACTTTTTATTGATGTAAAGAACTGAAATTTTTATTACATATATATCTAATTAACACCTTTTATTTCTGAAAGTTTTAGCTCTCTACATCAATAAAAAGTATGAAAAATATCATTAACAGTTTTTCATCAGTTATTATTAGATACCCATTATTTTTCCTTACTTTTGGACCACCCGGTATATTTGTTCCGCAGAGATGTTGAGTTTCATCCAAAAACGAATTCATATTATTATTAGAAAAAAAAAACCAAAAATTTATAGAAAATTTATCTAATGGAGTATGGGTATAAGGCTCTAAGTATAAGAATATAGGTATAAAAGTATATGGGTAAGCATATAGACATAAGGGTATAGAGGTAAAAGCATAGGTATAAGGGTATAGTGGTAAAGCTATAGGAATAAGAGTATAGATACAAAAATATAGGCATAAAAGGGTATACATATAAGGGTATAGGGATAAAGACAGATATACGGGTATCGAAGTAAAGATATAGATGTAAGGTTTTAGAGGGTAAGTATATAGGGATAAGAATATCGATATATATATATATATATCGATACCATTATTCCTATATCCTCACACCTATAGTCTGATAAGGATGAGCAGATAGAAGCAGATTTCTGCAGGAAAAAAATCTGTTCTCAAACAACTTGTTTGTATATTTAGTGGAAACATAACGCATTTAAACGCAAATTTTCTTTTCATGGAAGAGCTGATTTAATTAAAAATTCACAAGTTTTATATTAAATATTTCATTTATTTTCAGAACAAGTTTGATAAAAGCTTAACCAGTACAACTTTATCGATAGTGCTGATCTTTTATAGCGTCTGTTGTTTATTGTATAGAATTTCATTAATGCTCATATTCTAAACAAAAGATATATTACCGAATCTATATCTATGAAAAGAATCTTTGATATTTTGTACAGACCTAACAAACCTAAAAACAATTTCACAGTATGAGAATCTTTCTACATTGGGTGCGCTAAGTCCGTGCGAAGCTTCAAAAGTTCTTTCTTAGGAGACAGATTCGGTAATGTAGTTTTCTTGTTAGAGTATAGACACATGTTCTGTATATATTTGTTAATTACTATGCGTTTTTATTCGTTGCAAGAGTTGGTTGTTATTCCAACTAATATGATGAATTGCATTTTGGACTTTTTATTATTGGTTTCTTTTTCTGTCTTATCTATTTGTTGTTTTTTCCATGCAGTGTGAAGATAACTGTAAAGGACAAGATTAATATAGACTAACATAAATAACTCTTCGGTATTTTGTTTTATGATACGGACAAAAAACCTAATATATTATATGTCATCCTACTTTTTTCTTATCAACCATTAGCGAAAAGACATATATCATAGCGTGCTTAGTGTTTATATGATATATTCTGCAAAGAATCGATTCCAGAACCTAGACGTCTGTCGCATGTAGGCAGATATCAACATTGCCGAAAAGAAAAAATATATTATTTCAGTCAACTATTTCTCTTTCTCATTGCTACTAGTGTTTAACTCAAGTGTGGACTGGTATATCATTGTTGACGGCAAAATGATATCTAAACTCGCTTTTCTTACTACGATTTTCTACAGTAAGCTAAAATATAAATACAAAAGAAAAATTTTAAATTATATTTGTAGTAGTATTAATTCAATTGGATTTAAGTGCAGGCAAGATTTGTTATCAATGTGACGATTTACATCCATCTAGCAGATTCAAATTCTGGGGTGACAAAATAACAAAATGTACTGGTGTTCCGTTTGACAAATATATTACGAGAACTTCAAGAGCATTTGGTGCTGCTGTTTTAACATGCTATACGGTAATACTATTTTCTAAATCATATCACAAACAGTATTAATATTTACCTTCACCACTATGATTAAGTGGTTACATTGCCTTGTTTCTCGTTCTCTTCCCACATATTGTGTTTGTATCTCGGCATCATCAACAATGAAATGACCCTGGATAAATCATAAACAGTTGTCTGCTTTAGATTACTTGTTCGATAGAACGCTGACAACGTAGTGACATATATCGTTTCTTATGATTAATATCCAATTGAATTCTACTGTTTATCGAGAACTGAGCGAGAGAACTCTGAGTTAGGCTAGTCTTTTATCCAAAGCTACAGCTAGTAATGGTTGTAAGAAAGATATCGGACTAATGAATCTACTTCTGGACAATACTCTACACCACACACTATCCGAAACTGGAAGTATTCTTCCTTCTTTCCAATATTCATTTTTTTTTACATATATAGAAAAATGAGATTGATTTTCATGATTTTAATTCTTTGTAAATTTATTGTTGATTGAAATTATCAATAGTGTGTTTGAATTATGCATATATTACAATAGATGATAACTTAGAACTATTAATTTATTTTCTTTTTTTTTAATCTATAAAGAAATTCGATGAATCAGGTGCCGTCATTAAACGAGATGCATATGGACTTGGTGAAACATTTGACAAAAACGTTAAATGTCGTGATCGATTTCATACATGCTGCAGTAAACCACTTTGCAACAAACACACGAAAGCACCTTGTCCACCACCAGGTAATTATCCATTATATTATGTTTTTATTTCCACGAAAAAAAGAATTTCTTTTATTTTATAGAACGAATCACAGAAAAGAAAGAAGTAAAAGCTTGTTATCAATGTAAAGGTGCAGAAAATTGCAGACCAGAAAATCTTGAAGGATCCGAAATTCGTACTTCTGCTGCTTTTGGTAGCACGAATTTATATTGTTATACGGTATATAAAAAAAAACAATATACATTTCTTTTTTACTATTGAATTAATATTTTGTGTTTGTTTTATATTTGATAGAGATTCGATCCAAAGACAGGTGTTGCTGTTCGCCGTGGTGGTTTCGGATTTGGTGAAATCTTTGACAAACGTCTCAAATGCGATGCAAAATTTTATCTTTGCTGCTATGAAAACTTGTGTAATAAACACACAGCTGGCTTCTGTGCTAAACCAAACCCCCAAGGTTAATTAAAACAAATTATCTATGAAACGCGCGCGTACTCTTTGTGTGAACATTTTTTTTTTCGTATCTGTCGTTTTATTTCATATTCAAGAATAGATTTGAAGTTTGTATTAGTTAAAAATATGGATCCTTTAAATAATATGTGTGCTGCACTTGTTTCTGTTAATAATATTCTACAAAAACGAAAACAAACCATGAAAGATACTTGTATTGAGTCTAATATGATTGAAAAAGTAAATAACAAAAAACAATTATCTACAGATGCATCACTCTCTTCGAATATTACCAATACTAAATATCAAACATCAACCATATCACAGTTCAAATTAATTACTAATAAGAATCAAAATAAAAGTCATCATTTACATTTTGAATCATTGACAGAAGATAATTTTCATTATGCTCATTTATGCAATCGAAGTATTGATGAATTACCAAGTACAGTATTGTCTCAGTTCAATAGAAAGAATTATAGAAAGAAGGGAAAAAAAAGAGACTGTACATTGTCGATATATTAAAACAAATATTTTGTTCTTTCATAAAACTTTTCTAATCAAATATAAATTTGTAAGGTACCATCCATCTTTCAAATAGGATGTGTGTACAAGATCAATCTTCTCTGAAAGTTTATAGATTGTTTACATTGCATACTTTCACTTTTGAAGTGTAGAAATTTCGGATCATACCTACTGATATTTCACTTCTACAAGAAATAATAGATGAACTCTTCGAAACTTTCGTTAATACTAACAGATCCAATAAATAAAGGATATTTTGTTCAAAAAGATGAAACATTTAGACAAATTTCTTTTCCACGAGAAAAAAAAAGATCAAATTTATTTGTTCTTTTGACAAGTCATTGCAGAAATGTGCAACGCGTTTAAAAAAAAGGAGGTCGAGGTGGCCACCACCTAAAGTCTTCTTAACCAGCGACATGGTCGCTTCGCACCCTTCGTATTCGATAAGTGCGGAGTGACTGCAACTAACGATAACTGGGAACATTCTTTTTCATCAATTTTTCCATATATTTGGTGTTCTATAATATTTCCTAAAAAAAATAGTGCTTCATTTCTGAATACTTACCTAATAACAACAACATAAAATTGAAAATACCACGAGAAAATATTTAATTGGGCAAGACACAACCCGACATATATATAATTATAGTGTTCGTTTCTGTCTTAACTTGTTTTGTAGTTAAATTGTGGCAAAATTTAAGTTTAAGGTGAATTTATATATTATGCTCATCACAATGAAATTCACTGAATTTTAAGTTAGATCGATTTGTTAGTAAGACCATTTTAAATCAGCATTGATTACGATCTAATTTATTTATAAATTTAACAAATGAGTATAAAATGAGGTAATAAAACAAACGGGATCTCAGAAAGTATGAATCTATCAACAATTAAATTCATTCTCTTAACTTTTCAGCTTTTGTTGTACATTTTTTTAAAATCTCTAGAAATAGAATTTAACAACTGGTATAATTAAGGTACGGTTGCTTCCATGTGTGCAATGCATATCTCCGGATAATTGTCTAGTATGACTTTGAGTAATCGATTATAATTATATTGATTCCGTTAAAAGATTTATTAATACAGTTTCCACGTTTGTAGCTTTAGAAAAAAATACATTGATGAAAAATTCCTTTCAATGAAATCAACTTCTCAATCCTATCTTCATTTAATGCGTTTTATGTTAGAACGAGTAGGAGACATTTTCGTTTCAAAGGCTTACTATTCATTTAGATCATTCCAAAAGTTTTTTTTTCTATCAACATAGAAGCTTTGAGGAATTTTTATAATTAACACTAACAAACAAACGAACCAATTTCTTATCAAACTGTCATCATCTATTATAATGATAAACGTAATGGATAAAAATAAAATGGTTGAATGCCATTCTCCATCAAATCTTATATATAAACTAACATAAAAATGGATAGTTTGAAGAATAAAAAAAAATACATAAATAACTATAGAACCATTTAACTGATTTATGGCCAATTATTTTTTTTTTCTTTCATTATAGATGTACATCTTCATGATATCAAACAATTAAAATTGATTAATATTCATACCATGCAAGATTTACTTGGCCGTTTTCTTATTCATGATACTCCTGAAGAATTTTACACTTTTCTCATGAATACTTTTCAACTAAGTGAAAAAACAGCATCAATCATTACTAATCTACTTCATCGATGGACAAAACATAATATAGATACTATCATAGATAATAAAAACATTGATCCTATGAAAATAGTTCATTAATCTAATATGATGGATGCTTCACTTTATTATAATTTGTTTCTTTGTTAAAGCAGGAAAAAAGAAATTAGTCACTGTTTCAATTATTCATAGACGAAAAATAAAGATTATTATGGAAATTTTTCTCCATAAACATGTTTGAAAACTGCCCGACAAGATAAGAAAAAAAAAAGGGGGAAAGAAAATAAACAGAGCGAAACCGATCGACCAAAATAGATAATAAAGGATATTGAATGTGATACATCAGCTTATGATAGTAATTTCTCTTGGGGTGGTGATGATGATGATGATGATGATGGCATTGTTGTTGATGGTTGAGGATAATGGTTATTAGTTGTTGGATGCGAAGCAGATGTTGGTGAAGTTAACGATGCATCTGGTTCAGCAAATAGTGGATTACGTACTTCCATTTCACCCGTCTACAAAAATGAAAATTATTTCATTAACATAGATCAAACGTTTTAACCATAATATAATTTTAGATTATAGGAATTTCGATCCGGACTGAAATTGACTTCACTAATGTCTATAAGAAATCATATTTCTTTAATTAATTGCTACGTTTCGTAATACTGAGCTGGATAATATAGTGCTTAGGGTGTGGATGTAGGTCCTCTCTCCATGTACCAACATAATCACACATGATGCGCTTTCATCTAACACACCCTCATCCACGCCTATCCACCCGTACTCTAGCACTATGCCATTTTGCTGAGCAGTACATCTTCATGAAAATGTAGACTGCTTGGCACTATGAAATGTAGCAACTAACTAACTAAATAAATAAGGATTTTTTATAGAGATTAATGAGGTCAATTTAAACCCGAGCCGAAAGTCATCAAGGACTTCCGATCCGAGAGGAAAATCATTTGAGCTGAAATTTCGACCTCCCACAATTTCCTCCTTTTAAACTAAATCTTCTTAACGTTAATATATTTCTAGTGTAAAATCTCATCGTGACATTTTAATCTAAAATGCTAAAAAGTGATGAAATTAACATACTGGAGCTAGACCAGGACATTCATAGACTGTATAATCTCCACCACCAGGTGCTTCATCATCTGAATCATCTGAATGAACAGGTTTTGCATCGAAGTGAGTTCTACAAAAGAAAAAAAAAAGAAACAAACACAATGAATTGCAATAAAAATAAACAATAAAATCATATAATACAAAAAAAAAACATACTTTTCTTGGGCCAATATTTGTTGTCTTTGTTGTTGATAATGAAACATTTGTGCACTTTGAGCTAATTTTCGATCTGATATAGTTGGATTTGGTAAGATCTTATTACCACTAGTACTAGGTCCTGTTACTCCATATGATGGATATTCAGCATCGATTGCTGTTTGAGCTCTTTTGTGAATCCTATCAATCAAACACACAGCATTAAACATTTGATCTCGGCGTCTAATGTCAGATCGGAAGGAAGGATTCCGAGAACGGAAGATATATATAAAAACGTCTGACAAGGCTATTATAAAATTTTTAAAAAGTATTACTCATCACCACATACACATTGTAAAAAAGGTTATAATTATTAACATTCTTAAAGAAAGTCATGTTTGTATGATATTTCTCCTACATCCTAAATTTTATTTACATGCTAAAGTTTTTTTTTAACTTTCATTTATAAAATATTCATGATTGTTAAAAGAAGAAATAGACATTTCTCCTGGTTTTTCTTTTTGTCCTTAAAAATCATTTTCTTTTATATTATGCGTTATTCTCTAATAAATAATTTACAAATATAAGAAATGTCATGTTTATTGTAAAAAGAAAAATCATAATCAATTAAGTTTATTCAAAATTCTGGTTTTATAAAAGATCAAACATAGACAATGATGGAATTTTTGTATTGTACAAGAATAAGATTATGTTAAAATATACTCTTAATTGATCGTACTGATATGAATTAAATTGTAATTTTTTTAAATCTCATATTGCTGAGATAAAATAACTAATAGAGATTTTCTTTTATAAGAAAAGAAAATAGAAACAAAAATAGTATGCAACTATTTTTAATCTTAATACGTTTTGTTTATTCATAATCTTCTTTTACTGATAATTGAATCTTCACACATAAATGACTTAATTTTGTAAAAATAAATTAAAGAATACAAAAGATGAGTATGATATACAACGTAATATATATTGTTTTTTTCAAATAAAAATTTAAGATCTCAAAATTCTAAGGCATGTTAATAAAATGTAAATTTTGTTTGTTTATAAATTAGAATTAAATACTTACGTATACCAGAAAATAGCTGCTGCAACAAGACCCAAAATACCAATTAAACTGCTCGTGCCAACAATTACTATTAAAAAAAAACAATTAATTGTCAATTCATCACAAAAAAAAAATGCAAAGTTAAAAATCAAAAGAGAAAATAAACTTCTATATTTTGAAAAATCATATATTGACACTGTGTAATTCATTGAGTAAAAATATTAAGTTAAAGATTTGTCTGATGTCAGGAGAATTGTTATGATAATTTGATATTCATATTCTTTTCTTAACGAATTTGTTTTTTTTTGACAAATTTAAATATAAATATGCAAATGTGATACTTCTTTTGTCCTATATTTATAGTTATTAATTTTCTTTTAATAGAAATTGTATCCTTTTGAAAAGCAAGCTTTATACATACATATATATATAATACTCTTTTTCTAATAAAAAAAAAGAACTATAGGATAAATATAATCATATTTAATTACTTAAAAAAACGTATTCTATTTAAATATAAATATAGTAATAAAAATTTACCAAGAAATAATACATCATTTCGTCGTTTTTTTCGTTCAGCATCATCTAAAATTGCTGTCGATTGTAAACTTTCTATTCGACTATCAGCAGTATCGATGATCCATGGTTGATTGACAGCAGAATTTTCATTAGATTGAGAAAATTTTTTATTAACTGCTACACCCATATCATCATTGTTTAATACTAAATTAGTTGGTTTTCGTGTATCTCGATGCAATGATAGCAAATACTCCAAATCACTTTCATCTGCTATAAAACAAACAAAAAAAAAACAGAACATTTTGTAATAAAATAAATAATTGAAATAATACCATATGGGTGTTCCTTACCGTCAATAAAATGTCTTGCTGCTGCTGCTGCTACTTCTCTATCCACCAATGTTTCCCAACCGAAGGTATCTCGTTCTAGTAAAATAAATATTAAGTTTTTTAGAACATTATACTTATCTATGCTAGGTAAATAAGTATAAAACATAAAAAACGGAAGACAAATGAAGATTATGCGAAGTTGAAGATCATTTTTCACTTCTTTACACTTCTTTTAACTATTCAATGGTGCACCTTCTATCGTGTTATTACTAGAAACATTCTTTTCAAATTCATTTAACTAATACATAATAAAAATGAACGGAAACAAAATCGGTCATCTGTAATCTATTCACGGAAATAAACTTTGAATAGGATACGATTTAAAACTTTTTTTTTTCTTTACTTATTTGTTTTTACTTCAAACAAATTCTTAATCTTTTTTTTTTCTGTTTACAATATTTAAATAGCAGAAAAGTTTTATGTCATCATATAAATATATGAAAATATTACTTTTACTTTCTTCTCGTTCCTCATACATGTAACGTTTCATTGTTGATAATGGTATAAATTCATCACTGATTGGTTTTTTTTTATGTGGTGTCATTGCTGCTACTTGTAGGATTGGTGATGATTTTAATTCATGATGTAATGGATGTATTTTCGGCAGGGGAAGATAAAATATATGCGAAGCGTCGATTGTTATTATTACAACAAGAAATAAAAGAACAACGTTGTTATTCACAAAAATTTTCATCATTCTTTTTTTGGTTTTGTATATGTATATTTAAATTTATAGAAGTTATTGTGCTGATACAATTATTCTGACCATTAACGTGCGCGTGCTTGTATGTCGATTCACACGCATATAAAACACCCGATCGTCATTACCAGCGTGTGGATGGATGTATGCCGGTAGTGATAGAGTTCTTGTTTTGTTCGAACTCTATTCTATGAAAAGAATTTCTGTTTTTTTTTTTCTCTTTTATCGTTTTTTCATTCTCTGTTTGTATCTTGAGGGCCGAAGAGAAGACGTTCATAGAAAAGAAAACTATGTAACAAGAAAAAAATTACCCATGTATCTCTATTGAATAAAGAGAAAGAAAACAAGAAAAGAAATAGAAGACAGTGCAGTCATAGACAAAGAAAAAAAAAAGTCGCTTGATTTTCAAACACTATAGCTCATACTTCAACACAGTAATACTCATCATACAATAACGATGATGATAGGAAAGAACGAAAAGATTAGATTATCAGTCGATCAATGATGACATCATCGGATAGAAAAAAAAAAAGAAAAATACCAAGAAGTAGGATTAATCTTAATTGAATGAAATGATTCCAAGAGTATGTTTCTTTTTGCTTGAAGAGCTTAGTTTTACATGGCATTGTTTTAATTTCTTTAGTATGAATATTCATATGTTGATACTTAGAAAAGCATGATTATTTTTCTTGTATACTATTCTTCGACCTCTAATCGATAAGAACTGGAGGATATGTCAATCAATAAAACAATTTTTATGCGTATGCATGCTACTTTTTTTCTGTCATTCTTTTTATTTATTGGCTATAAGTACACACTAGATTCCGATCTCATTCAAGAACGCGTTGACAAGTCCTACTAATGGTGTTTCTTTTCTTTTTTTTTTCTGCGCACCTTCTATTAGCTTTTCTTTTTCTTTGTATACTTATTGCGATTTACGATTATATATATATAGGAAAAAAAGAAAACAAGAAAATAGTTTATTACTCTATGAGGAAACATTTCGATCATCAATGACAAGTCACTTTATTTTCTAAAGTAATATTAATGTTAATGAATGTTATCAATCACTAAATGACTTTTTTTTTTGAAAGAGTAAATAATAAGAAAATGTAAAAAAAATAACGAGAAATAATCTAATTAGCATATTTATAAATAGAATAATATTAAAGGATACAGATTTTATATGAAGGTAGAAAAAAAAAACAAGCATATCAACTTACCATCCGTGAATCTAAGAGCCAGACATGAATTGTGTTTAGTTGTAAGGAGATGGCTACTAAGTAAAAGTAATAATAAAAGTCGTGAAATGCCACGTACTAAGACCAGGTGTATCGTTGCCATTTTTGTAAAACTACACTCAATTCGATACAGCTTATTTCATTGCTTGGGATAAACAGAACAAAAATAACGGTCGAAGAATGGTGCTTAGGTATCGCCCAATCAGTAAAATATTGAAATATTTTAAAATAATCAAAAAGAAAAGAATAACGAATATAACATAAACTGAAACATATTAAAAATTACTTGGCTAGTATCCAAAGAAGGGAAAAACAAATCAATAAAGAAATGAAAAAAAAAACAAGCACAAGCAACAGCTGTCGAAATAACTCAACTTTTTCGAATGCAACAGCTTTCATAATACAATCATATAAATAAACACGCGTCACTAGTTTCCGATCAGAAAGGAAAACGTTTTTTTCCCTTTACAAACTGTCGTCCAAACGAATGACACATATCCATACGAGACGAATACTGCATTTGCATCGTGAATTATTACATGCATGAAAGAAATCAAAAGTGAAATTAGTAGGCGTATTTTGTACATATGAATTAATCATATATTGTACAATGACATGAGACGAATGATACATATACCATTCAGAACATGACAAATAACCACTACAACGAAAACTGTCCCATAAAAATGAAAGAGGTCACTAGTAATCAGATTTTATCAAAACTGTACATTGCTAATATAATTATTTCGATGTCAAGTATTATCGTTTGTTTTATAAAATTACAATCTTTCATTTTCTTATCTGTTTATACTTTCTATGATGTTACTTATTAATCGATATTTTTTACATTATTATTTATAAATGAAAATATTTAGACGATGCATTTTTGTAATGTCATTATTGCTAGAATCATTCTTTTCATTCGTTATTATAATAAACCACTCAACATGAATATTAATTCATTTAGATATTAAATAAGTTGTGAGAAAACTTTTCTTCTTGTTGTTGATTTTACGACTTTCAGTGCGGAAGCTTTGTTATACAAAAATATAGATTCAGGATATTATACAATTATTGATTTAGTTCGTACGCGATACTTTGAATGCTCTGATTGATGTATGAAAATTCAAATGCATGTCAAATAATCATTTGTCTATATTACAGAGATGCCCGTCATGACTGGAAATCTGCTGCTGTCACAACAGTATCTCCCACGTTATTGACGCCATCGTGGTGGCGGTAGCACTGGTATAGATATCTCAACTATATGACAGTTTAATCAAAAAGTAAAATTTGCTTATCATTTTCAAAGAAATACTTTTATTATGATTTGTTTTTTCTTATTGCATGATAGAAGCTTATTTTATTTCAACTAGAATTATTTCGTTTTATGAATATCACTTTCCAATCTCTTCAAACAAGTTTATAAGCTTGAAAACCAGCTGATTGTACAGCTTGAATGACAATATCTGTATTTATATTATTATTTGTAATCAATTTAGCTTGACTCGTTTCAAGATCAACATCTACACTAAGAACGCCATCAAGTTTTCTTAATGATTGAATGACTGCTGAACGACAAGCTTCACAATGCATTCCTATTATTTTCCAATGTGTAATAATAACTTGATCATCTATAATATTATTTCTAGAAAATTGATTATTATAAATTCGAAGAAGTTCAGGTGAAAATGAAAGAATTAATGTAAAAATAATAACAATAGTAAAATGCCATTTTGATGGACGATAACGAAAAAATGAATAAGTTAATGAAATAATTGTCAATGAAATAAATAATGATCGATAAGGTACAAGAAGAGTATTCAATCCAGCACAACCAATTCCAAATAGATTTAAAAATAATTGAATCAAACAACATGATGATATTAAAAGACCACCAATAAGACCATTTATCCAATTAATATATCTCATTTTCTAGTCTACAAAATAAGTTTAATATTTTGTTAAAGTAAAAAAAAAACAATTCATAACAATAAAAATAAATTCTCATATGGTTTTTTTTTCTAATCTATATAAATTTAAAAACAAATATTATTCTCTAAACAATATCTTTTGGTTTTGCTGTTCTAGCAAATTGTACAATCATTGGTTTTTCATATAGAATAAAACCATTTGTATCATTTAATGCTTGTAAAGCCATATCTTCATTAGGAAATGTTACAAATGCTTGGCCTTTCATTTTACCTTCACGCATAAGACGTATATCAATATCAAAAGAATTTTCTTTATAACGATCATAGATAGAATGTAATATACGTTCATCAACATGTTTTGCATTAAGATTTTTTATATAAAGACGTTGTGATGATTGACCACGTTCATAATTTCGATATAAACGACCATTATCAATAAAACGTAATTGATCTTCATTTAAACGATTTTTTCTTACTTCTTCAAGTGAAATTAGAGGAAGTGGTAGTAGAAGTTGTTCTTTTTCTTGATTAACAATATCAACACTTGTTATAGATGATTGAACTGGTTCTAATAGACCAAAACCATGCATTGTGATATCCATTGGTAGTGAATTATTAATTTCCATCTAAATTCAATAATTTATTTTATTTGAATGATTTTTATTAGAAGTTTTTGCGAAGAATTTTCTTATTTTAAATAACATACTCGAGATGAATTAAGTGTTTGAGGTAATTTTAATTCGATTTTTGGCTTTTTCTTTTTCTCTATATCACTTGTTATATTCATTTGTGTTGTTGGTACTACTTTTCCTTGACGAATTGATGCCCGTAAAACTGATTGATGACGACGTTTTATACGTTGTTCTTCTTCTCCATCATCTATTTCACTTTCATCTTCATCTGTATCCATATTAATTACTTCAGAAAAAATACTTTCATCTGTTTGACATGCAACACTAATTTTTGATAAACTTCGAGATGTTTTAGTTGAATCTATGAAATAAAATAAAAAGAAATACTTCTTGTAATTTTGTTTTTGTTTGTTACCAGCAATCATAGGACATGGAAGCGACATTTTATTCATAAGATGAAGAACTTGAGTATAAAATGAAGGTACTGATAAAAGAGCATTATTAATATTCATTAAAATTGTATCATCAATAGGTGGATAAACATATGAGAGTCTTTCTGATGGTAATAAATAATGAATTTGATTTATACCTGGTGAAATACCATGTAATAAAGTAAGTTCATTATCATCATATGAATGTGAATAAGAAGAAAAAACTAAATGTGCTAATTCTGATGGACAATATTCTACAACTAATCGACGAGCAAGTACTTCAAGTTGATGTAAACGTCTAAGAGCTTGAGATGCTTGTGAATTTGAACCAAAATCAGCAACAATAAGATTTGATATATTTTTAAATCGAGATAAACAACGTATATGAACAGCACCAAAATGTTCTAAAAATTCTTTTCGATCATTATTGTTGAATAACAATGGAAAATTTTTAACTGTTAAAATATTTGACGAATAAACAGAATATGTACTCATCTAAAGAAATATCGATTCAAAGTCATATAAGACAAAGTTGTTTTTTTTTAACTTGTGAAACATTATCAGTATTCTTTTATTAGTAACTTCAAATCTTCACAAATTACTAAGCACATCATCATCGACAAGTACATTTTAATATATAAAAAAGATTTTGTTGATGAAGTTTTACTTAATATATTTCTCAAAACTGTATAAACAATATATATAGACGAATAAAGTAAGATATTTATTTATTTTTTCAATTGAGTAATTGTACATTCAATTTTATAATTTTTTCAAACAAGATCAATTCATCTATTATAATTAAAAATAATAGAAAATAAAATGATGTAACTAGCTGACGTTTGTTCAAATGAGTTTGATTTACTATTCGTTTGTATTTGTTCATTTTTACAATTATAATTTACATCTCGGATATGTTTTCTACAATATACAAAAAAAAATTGATTCCTAATATTAATCCATGACTTAAAAACTTGCATTTTTTTTTTACCTAAATTCTCTTAATTATTTTATGCTTGTTCTAGCCTGGTTTATTATAAATTTTCCATAGATTTCCACCATAATTCTACATTAATTCGAGATTAAAAAATTTCAAAATATTTCTTAGTAATTTGTTTATTGATGTTCAACTTGAGCGTAAGAGTTTTCAACACATTTATTCCATACGGTAAAAACAATATGTTTACCTGATGGAGTTATTGATAATTCATAAGTTTAAATAGAATAACATTAACAATAAAAAAAAAAATATCTATTTTAATATCATTTCATGCTTAACACTTTCATGAATAATAATTTGATAGTCGTGCAAATGCAATGTTTATGATGTTTGTCGATAAATTAATTAATGAAATATCAAAAATTACTTCCAATGAAGAATATATTGGTTGTTCTAAATAGCTGTTTGTTGCTTTATAACAATGTATTTCATCTTCTACTAAACTCAAATTGTAAAATGATATTGAAGAAAAAGAATCAATAACAAACATATAAAGATAGCATACCTTTTAACGTACACAGCATTTGTCATAATGAATACCATAATAAAATAAAGTATGAAAAAGTACGTCAGATAATGGTTGTGATTGATGTCCTTGGATATTATTCGAACGTTGAATGGCAAGTACAGTTAATGTTGAATTTGACATCTCTATCAATGAGATAATACAGAATTTATAGACATAAAAAAAGCAGATAATTGACATTGACAGTGTATATAAATGATCCAATAATTTAAGAAAGAAAATATGGATATGTGATATAAATGATTTGATTGGAAGAAAAAAACGAATTGAACTCAAGAATCATAATTGAAAATATAGAGTTCGCACAAAGATAGAATCGATAAACGAGTTTTAATTTCGAATAACTTGATGATCATCGAAAGATGAAGTTTTGTTATTTTGATTAATCTTAAAATATGTTGTTTTGACTTCAATAATTTCAGAAAAAGTATTACAACAAAAATATTGAAAATATTAATGACTGAAGTTCTTTTGATTTACTTGATAAACAAAAAAAAAAGTTTAGTTAATGAAGATAATGAAATTACGTGAATTTTATTGAGTTGATAAATTAAATTGAGATAATTTCATTTGTACTTGCTTTTGAAGCAAAATTTTGTTTTAGTTCAAACATAATCCAACCCCTTTCAAATGTTTATAACGATGAACAAATCTAACATGTATTATCATGAAATTATTATTATAAATTTCATTCCAGTGAACAATTTTTATTTGACTTGAATTTTATTTAGAAAATATTGATTTTTATTCCAAGAAAAAGATTAATATATGCTATGCCAGTTTAGAAATAATAAAGTCATAGTTATTCATGATAGATTGATAAAATTCATCGGTTTTAACAGATAGACCTTAGCATCTATATGAGAAATACAAATATGATATTTCTTTAACTTCTTTATTGTTTATGAATTGTCAATTTCAATTAATAAAATTGAACGTAAAGAAATAATGGATATTATCTTCCAAAAAAAAAAATCTCAAGTTATTAGACCTCTCATTTGATTAAATTTTCGTTTGTTCTTAAGAACAAATAATCGTCATCGAGATTTGTTTTATTTGATCCTAGACTGACAGAATAGAGATATACATATAGGTGCATCTAAATATAAACGTGCATTAAGCAAAGTACTAGACAAATACAAGTGGTGACTTGACATATGACAACCGTTCGTTGTACAAAACTAATTTTTTCGCTATATAAAATTTGATATGTATGTCCGATAATACTAAAAAAAAAAGAACTACGAATGTGAAGCTTACATTTACAATTATTTTCTTTGAGTCATTAATCTATGATGATGATACTCCAATTGTTTATATATATATATATATTTAACAATATTAATTTAGTAAAAATGATAGAAAACAAAACTTTTCATTGTTTTCAAATAGTTTTATATTCATAACTTGCCATATCATACATCATAGATAGCATTACAAAAGACTCAAGAGCAGTTATTGTCTGTGTATACTCGAAACCACTTCTATTCATTCCTTACAATTATCTCGTCTTCAATGATAAAAGAATTGTTTAACTGTTTTCTTTCCGATTTATTTACAATACTCAAGTATAATCGTTACACAAAAAAAAAGAAAAACAGATATTATTGTTAATATTCTATATAATTTTGAATATAAATTATTTCAATAAAACACAAAAAATAATAATATAAAACTTAAAATGAATTTATAAATATTCCTCCTTGATGTTTTTTTTTATTCACTAGTCAATATACAAAACAAATTATTTGTTTTTCTTTCTCTCATTCTTGTAACATCAACTTAATCTGAGGTCAGATTGAATGCTGCTTGTCCTTCGTTTCTTTTTCTTTTTTTTTTTTCTTTTAGTTGTGACAATGAATTCACTGTATGCTGACCCTTTAGTCTGATAATGACAAATCGCGTTCGTCTCATTTTTCTCTTCCCTAGAGCTATTATATTTATATATACACATAGTCATATTATTTCGATCCATTGTCAAAAATACATTCATATCAATGGGTCAACTATTTACTCGAATATCAACAACACAAAGGCCCGAACAACAAACATCATCAATAATAACACAAAACAAGTAGATATTAGTACTCTTAAAAATATCATTTTATTTAAACCTTTTTTTTTTGTAGTTTTATTACAACTAAACGAAAACGTATTGATCAAGATATTATATCAAAAAAGAGAAAAATTCTTCTAAATGATAATGATAACAATGTTCGTTTATCATTTTCTTCAAGAATGTCAAAAAATACAAAAGTTTCGAAATTAATTAATACATCTATTATTAGTCATTCTTTCTCATCGATGGTATTTTATTTTTTTTTGTAAATCAAAAAAAAATAAATAAATTTTCTATTTTAGACAATATTTAAATGTCAATTATGTTGTCGATGTTTTACAAGTAAAGATTCTTATCTTGATCATATGATAATTTGTGCTATTGAACATCAAGCATCAATTAAAATAGTACGTGCACAAAAAAAACTTATTCATTTCAGTCAATGAACAATATTATCGAGAATTTACAAAATACAAAAAATGATATAATTTTTTTATATTTATTATGTATCATTTCTTTCTTATATATATATTATTATACATTTTTTTTTAAAACATATTTTGAGAAGAATTCTGATTAAAATTCTTGTATCTTCAATTAAAAATGAAAATATTCTAAATTTTGTAGAAGCGATTCGGATTGAAATGAAATTTTCTTTTCTTGTTTTTTTTTTCTGTGAAAAATTTATTTAATAAATTTCATCTATTTATTTATTACATTAGGAAGTTTTGTATCACCATATTTTAAAAATTGAACTACTTCTTTCCAAAGTTCAAATGATTGTTTTTCTTTAAAAAAATTAAAATGACCACCTTTAGGTAAATGCCAAGTTTGAATATTTGATGATTGATGAAATTGTTTAGTAAATAAATCAAATGCTTGACGTGTATAAAATTCATCATCAGCAAAATTTAAAGCTAAAATAGGACATTTTACTGAATTAAAACCATCAGTTAATAATTGTCCATTATTATCAACAAAACATTGACGATGTAATACCCATCGTGCCCATTGTCGTATAATATTTGATGGCATATCAACACCTGTTCGAAATACAGTACGTATGGGATAATATCCATAAAGTCGCATAAGTGGTTCACGAATAATATAAAGTAAAGTCAATGTTCGAAGAAAAGCCAAATTCCATTTATGATACATTAAATAAGAATTTGTTGCTGAAATAAGTAATATTCGTGAAATTTGTTCATTTATATGTGTTGGTAATAATGCATGCATATTTCCACCCAAACTATGACCAATATGAACAACTTGATCATATTTTTGAAAACAATATGATAAAACTCCTGCACAATCACGTCGAGCCCAATGTTCAACAAGAGTCCATGGAGTTGATTTTCGTTCATGTATACCACGATAATCATATGTTACTACATGTAAATTATGTTCTTGACTTAAATATTGTGCAAATGGAAAATAAAATTGACGACAACTACCTGTTGCTTCAGAAATAACAATACATATGGAATTAGAAGATGATAATTTTGGTTCAAATATTGTTGCTTGAATTGGATAAGAATCAATTAAAGCTGGAATAGTTATTGTAGAAGAATTTCGTAGAGAAGAAATCTTAAAAATATTTTTCGGAATAATACGTAAATAATTCATTGAAAAATGATTATTTATATAATTCAAGTAAATCTAAAGAATTTTTAATTTCGATAATACAATAATTTTATACGAATGAAACATTGACTATATCCTCTTATTTCAAATTAAAGACGAGTACAATTCATTTTTAATATTTATTCATCGTTTTTCTCTCTCGATTTTAACATTCTATATATTTCTATTCTATGTAATTAACTTGAATTCAAGAATAGATCAAAATACTTTTTTTTTGTATACTTAATGAAAATTTAGTACTTCGCCACATCAGCGACATCGTAAAACTCATACACTCCTTGATATCTTCTATCAACTAAGTCAATTAGTATATAGAGTTTCGTCGACCTGTAGAAGAACTGAAAATTTCAGCAAATATTAAAAAAATAAGAAAAGAAGGACTTTCATTGTTGTCTTTATCTTGTTTGGTTTTTTCAACCTTATGTTTCATTCGATAAATGTACTATCCAGTCAATAATAGCGATAACAGAGTGAAGTACAGGACAACCTGTGCGAAGATATGTCATATGACAATAGATAGAAGTGAAAGACTTTTGAAAATATCAACGAACAATATTCAAAATTTATATATTTTTTTTTTCTTTTAATTATTTCCAAGAAATATTCGAAAATGGTATGTATATTTTAAAATTTATCAGTTATAATCATAGGATAATATTTTCTTAATTTGATCGAAAGTAAAATGTTTGTTTTCTTTATAAGATTATCATTTCGATCTAAAGTTATTGTTTCTATTCGATTATGAAAAATCAAAAATTTATTTTAATAATAATTTTTTCGCTCGCTTTATTTAAATTTACTGTAATAGATAAATAAAAAAACAAATTCAATTTCAATTAGATAGCATGTTGCTGATTTATTTAATGATGAAATATTCTATATAAATATGTTGTAAACCATAACAGTAACTATAAATTGTTAGACTACCAAATATCAACATTAATAAAAGTACAGTGACAGTTCAAATTGTTATTTTATCAATAACATCAAAAGTACTAATTTCAATATTAACAATACATAAATTTCTTCAAAGCTGCTATTCGATTGTACGTAAAAAGTACACAAATGATAATGGTGACAATAATTGTTTTATAGACAATATAACTATGACATCAATGTCATCGATTTGTATTACATGTACTTGAGCAAAAAAAATCAATCTCTTACTATTGAATGATAGTCTAATCAATATGCAATTACATTTGAAAATTGAGAACGAAAAATAATATATATATAAATTTACTCAAATCCTAGTATGAAAAAAAAGTAGCATAGGACTTTGAAAATAATGATAATTGTAAAAATATAGTTGTAGTTAAAACTCAACTGATTATACCAATAAAGAAAAGCATTGATATATACATTTGATAAATTGTCTAAGTAGTAATAATGAATTGAGTAGTAAGACAATTACTAGTAGTGGTGTTTAACACTTTTTTGTTTACAAGAAGATACAGAATTTCTGATGAATAGTAAAATTGTTATTACTTGTAAAATTAGATTTCAATAAATGTTTTCTATTTAGAGAAACAATGAGACACATAAAAAACACCTAATTTTGGGAAGTAATCAAAGAAGACAGAATTGTCATAAAGAGAAATACGATATTTAAATTTATTTCCAATGATAAAAAGTTCTATGAAATAATAAGTCTATTATCCGATGCGTAAACATCGGACAAAAATGTTCAAGTTTTCTAACAGCTCAAATTTGATTCTTTTTTTTTTTCTATTTTATCGAATTCCTTGAAATTACCCTTTCGAACAAGACGACTGAAACATAAGCATTCTGTTACTTCGTAAGCTGACATAGTGCATTTCCACTATAAAAATTATCTTTTGTTACAAATGTAGAAAGTTGTACCGAAGAAAAGAATTACTGAATATTGATCACATGTAATTTTTCATGAATAGATTTGATTAGTCTTTATGTTAAAGAAAATCAAAATTAAAGATGTTTTTTTTTTCTTAAGAGTAGGCTTATATTCTATAATGAAATTTCGATGAAATTAAATAATTCATTCTTTCGATGTTAGTATTGTTATGTTGTTTTTTTTGAAATTACAATCAAAATCTATATTAGAATTCCAGATCAAATTTGTATGATTCAATTCAGATTCTAATTGAAATTATACTTTCTAAGGTCAATTTGGTACTACCTATTCCTTATTTGAAATGTGAATTTCTTCAATAATATAAATATTGGATAAAAAAAAACTACAGAAAGTGACGGAAACTATCGAAAATTTTTGGAAAAATCGGCGTACCAGGTGAAAAAATATTGTGTGTGAAAGATCCAACTTCAAGCTATTCTTCCATGCATTTATCTTAATATCGATAATTCTGATGGAAATGGACTTTCGTCGAGGAGGAGAGAGATTAAGTTAATTTAGTAAATTAAACTTGATGCAAAGCAAAAGTATGTTTAATCTCATCATTGGTTTCTAAATAGATTACAATACAATGTTTGTTATTAGATTATTCTTGAACATGACATAATATTACTTCACAATGACAAATCAAGTGTACAATATTCATTCGATATATTAATAGAAACATTATTTGCATTAGTTTTTAATTGTTTAACCTAATATTCAAAATATTGGTATAATTGCATATTTTAAAACAAACTTTTGTGTATTCATTTACTGATTTTTCATAAATACAAGAATAACTATCATCAAAATCATCAATGAGAATACGCATTTTAATAGTTCATTGAAGTTTTTCTTCTGAATAAAAAAAGAAAAGTTTCATGGTTTCATTCACTTTGATAGTGCATAAACAAAAACAATTAAATGATCAGCATCATATACTACTGTAAAATATCAAGATCATTTAGCATGATATTCAAAATATGATCAAGTATACTAATTAAGTTTATATTTTTGAAGTTCATCATCTGATAACGTACTTAGTTTGGACGTAAACCGCACTATGCTCATGTTGTTTTTTTTTTGTTTTTTTGATGTGACTGAATATGGATGCTTATGAGCAATAATAGGTTATTTACAGCACCTGTGATAATATCAACTTTTGTCTTGACAATGATATGTGACATATCGAAATGTGGATATTAGTTATATAAAATAAATAAATAAAGCTGTCTGCTGTAAACAACCTCTTATTTCTATCAAGCAAAATATTATCCATTACCAAACATTACTTTGGATGTTTATGTACGGTCAGATGCCTATCTCAAAGCAGAATAACTCTCTTGCGTTCTTGAATTGTGTCAAAATGAGAGAAAAACAAGATGACTTCAAAGTTATACCATCAGTCAATGGAATTTCTTTTTGTCAGAGAATTTCGTTGACGTTAAAAAAAATATTTATCAATTATATATCGATTTTCTTGTTTGAATTCTGGCAAGAAAACACACTCAGGTATTCGTTCGCTTATGAACCGAAATTTAATGGATCTTGAACATCTTAGTGAACTATGTTTACTGTAAAAAGAGTTTGTATCCATGACTTCTTTATGATGAAATCGAACGTTTTAAGTAAACTTCCACTATGGAACCTTACATTTGTAGCAAAATTATATTGGTGAATTTCAACATGAAATTTCGTTCACATGAAGACCTTAGTTAGACTATATTGGATAAAAAATTTCAAAACATAGACCTTTTTTTCCATAGGAAGTATATACAGCATGTAGTTTTTGGAGACATCATATTTCATAAAGACTTCGTTCAAAGATTCTGAGATTTTTTATACGAGTTAGCCTGATTGAAACCTTTTCAATGGCAAAGTTTCAGGTCAATATTCACAAATACGGTCTTACTGCAAATATAAGATCCTACAGCAAAAATTTATGAAATCTTCTGAGAAACAATCTATGGACACAAACTCTTGTTTATGGTAGACTTAGTTCACTAAGACCTACACGATGCGCTAAGTTTTGGCTCAAAATTGAATAGATATACTTGGGAATGTTCCTTCATGAATTTTGTCTTTTTCTATGGAAAAAGCCATATAAAGTTTAGGAGTATCAATACTCAGTGAACTCTACAGACTGATAACGGCTAATACCCGAGGAATCTTTTTTTTCAATGTTTTAAGTAATCATCATAATGGAACGTATTTAATAGATGTTATTTTTCCTTTTTCTTTTTTTTTTCATATTCAGTTTACAATTTAGTAAAGTTAATGTGAATAAAACTATATAGGAATCCATTATCTCATTAACTCTTTCACGGCGATTCGGTTTTCCGAGGAAAATAGCTTCAATGTATTAATCTTCATGCATGTACACGCTCGATAAATGCGCTCATTGATATTTTCAGTATGTACAGCTATTTGTTGTTCTTTCTGCTTTTTTCTATCATCGTATGATATGTCTTTTACCAGATCGAACTGAATAGTTATTCGAGTCTGTCTTTTTCTGTGTTACGCGTATTGTACAGTAACAATGAAATAAAGAAGCGAAATTTTAATTTTTTCTTTTACATTCTTTTCGTAGTATTATCTTTCACTCTTTCTTTTTATTCCCATCATGGATGAGAGTGTGAGTTAATAAAGGAAAACAAGGTTTAGATTTATCTGATCAGTTATCAACATGCTATACATGCCTCAGACGGTCCAAAAAGTGGTATCAAAAGGTGGCATTTGAGATAAGATTTGGAATGTCAATAGTAAATGCTTATTTGATTTTCAAAGAAAATTATGATACAAGCCTTATGACGATGCTACAGTTTCGTAAAAGTCTTGTGTGATCTTTACTTCTTGGTGTGTCATTCGAGAATCTAAAACCTGGTCCAAGAGAACGTTCAACAAGTCAAGTGCGCGGATCACAAGCTCGAAGAAAAGAAAAGATCTGATTGCGATGTTCGAAGACGCTGTGTTGGCTGTTACGAGAAAAACAGGGAACAACAATCAAGAGAAGCATGTCATGCAACAACAAAGAGAATAAAAACTTACTGTTCTGATTGTAACAAATTTTTTTGTCTTGATTGTTTTAACGAAAAGCATCACGCTATGCAATAAATGATTTTAAAAATAGTGAAGGCAGAACAGATCACACCTTACGTGTAACCTTCCGCCTAAGAATAAAAGAAAGGAAAGTATTTTTCTATTAAGTTTCTTGTTAAAATATAGCGAGGTCCACCGGTAGACCCTATCGCCGTGAAAGGGTCAATTGAAAACAGCATATAATCATATGTAACTTGATTACCGAATAATCAATCGTTTACGAGATAATGGGTTATTCGATTACGATTATTTTTATTAAAACATTATTTTTTAATTAAAAAAATAGTGATAACATTTATTTACTTTTCGTTCGCGTAAAAAATAACTAAATTTTGCATTTTGATCGATGGATATAAGAGATTATGTTTCTTCTTCCTATTCTCTCAAATAATCTTGATTCATTATTTGATCGATTTTAATTTCATAAAATAATTTAATGGACATGCGACCTAGTAGTAGTCCTATTTTTATCAAGAATACTAGCAACTGTTTGATAATGATAATGTGAAAGTAATTGAATAGTTTCATTATGAAATAAATGTGAAAATATTTTACTTAATCCAAACCATGTTTGATTATTCAATACAGCATGTTCATTATTATTAGGTAAATGAATATCATCATATAGATATATTGAATTGAATTCAGATGAAAGAAAATTTTCATTAGGATCTAAACGATAACCTAATTCACGTTCATCAACACATGTGTTATACAAATCTTTGGCTTGAACTATTAATAAACTAGAAAAACAAACAAACAAACAAACAAAGAATGTTTTTTGTTTGATTTTGGGGATTATGGCTGGTTGTTTTTATTTTTACCTGAGTAATTTTTGATCAATATCCCATTGTTTAGTACCTTTCATAACATTTTTAGGTATAGTTATATTCATTTTTTCTTTTAAACAACATTCAATCATATCGATTGTTATATTTGATGATATATGACAACTATTTGATGGAAAAAAAATTTTTTTCCATAAATATTTTTTCATTCCAACATATGACATTGGATAATAATGAATATTCTGATACTTTCCATATGAAAGCTTTTCCTTTGGACAACAATATGCATTAACAGCAAGAATATAATTTGTATGATTTGTATCAATTTCAAAACGATGTCTACTAATTGGTAATAAATCTGCATCAGCTATTAAAATAAATAAATCTTTAGTAGTATTATATTCATATAAAATAAAACCACCAAATAAACGTATGATTTGACTTGTTGATATTGAACGTGATGAATCAACATTTATAAAATAATATTTAATTTTTAAATCATTTTTTAATAAATTAATTAATGACATTTTTCCAAATAGTTTATGTGAACCAACAAGAAATATGAATGGTTCAATACCAATACGACGCCATGCCAATGCTACATATGGTAAATAATAACAATATAAAACCGTATAAGAATCTGATGAACATGATAATAATACAATCTTTTTATATAATGATGAAAAATTATTTGGATATAAATGATTTATTAATGGTGGCAATACAATCAGATGTGAATACTCTTTTTGATAATAAATAAATATATTAATAACTAAAATAAGTAGTAAAAATATGAGTATTGAACGAATACATGTTTTATCTAATAAATTGACAAAAAAATAAAAAAATAATTTTGTTTTTCAAAACAATTAATACATACACATTTTAAACAATTATTTATTGGTTAGAATCAGTCATGATAATGAAAAGTTGGTTGTCTCACTTATTGTCTAGTTCTATGAGAGAAAGAAAGGAAAAAATGGATTTATATAACTGAAGGAGAAGAAAGAAAAATATCGAGAATGAAACTCGAGCTAAAATGGTAGTGCATCACTCGATAGGACTCGCTATCGACACAAATGTTGTAAGTATCTTCTAATCACATGGACGGAAATCCAAACTATGGAAAAAAATGAAAAGGAACGAGAATTACGATAAGCTATACATAATTCTATGCAATATTATTAATTGGAATTTGAAGCTATATATCAATTTACAGTTCACATTTACTTTTTCTAGCAAAAAAGAAAGTATTTTTTCTAAATCATAAGTACGATGAGTGATTTAGTTTTTTGCTTGAGATATTTAATGTAAAAAAAAAAACCATTGCTTTGATATATATATTCACAAAATCGTCGTCAGATAAAATGTACTCAGAAATCTTCGCGGAGAATAAATGAAGCGAGAGTACTTGATGACAGGAAATTATGAAAAATTTTACATGCTCATCTTCTTTTCATGATATATAAATAGAAAACATATGTCAAATATTCATATCGTAATATGAGATGATTGATTTTTCTTTATATCAATAATTTTCGAATAAGATTAAAAAAGAATAAAATATATTGCGTGTTTCTGTTCGAAATTTGTTTCATTAGAAAAATAATAAATTATTTCTACTACGAACAAGAGTAATTAAAAGAATTATTTTCGTCTTATTTTTCAATTTTCATTCATTTTGAGCTGTATAAATATTAAATTGAATTATCAACGATACGCAAACAAGAAATTTAATTTACAAAAATCTTTTCAGCTAATTCTTTACGTTCACGTTTTGAAGAGAAATCAAATCTACGTTTTAGTATCATGAACGAACATATCAATATTTCAGACATTTTTTACGGTTGACTCTCTCAGTACCATTCGTTTCAGTTTCGAAACGTTTTTTTTTCCTAAATTTTTCTTTCAAACAATTTGCACATGGAAAAGCATACAGAATTCTCTATGTGATGACTGCAGAAATAATGATCTCATTCAATAGATACAACTATTGTTACATATGATCTTTTCTTTCATCATCGACTATTTTCATCATTAATTTAAGAGAAAAAATTGAAGTAAACAGCATTTGGACAAGCGTATTGATGTAAGAAGATTTCACGTAAACTCTTCTGAACAAAAGTCTTTCTCTTTCTCATTCTTTTTATGTAGAACTTCTCTGGTCTCCAGTAAATGTTGGTTACAAGAATAATTTAAATACTGTGATTTAGTGTAATATATGATTAATTACAACCTGCTTCAATGAAGAATATACATCATTTAATACAATCGATCAACACTACAAATGAATTGGTTTGATTGAATACTTCATGGTTGGATTATCTCTTTTTATTTTAAATATTTTCTGACTGTTTTACTAGTTTCAGTTTATCTGTATTTGTATAATCGATTATACCGCATTCTAGGAGAAATTTCGAGTAGGCGACGAAGAGGTGTAACGATATAAATCAGTAAAAGAGTTAGTAGATACAAAAAAAAATAATCTAATCGTGAAATATTTCTTTCAACCAGTTCATTTGTAGTGTCACTCAATGAGCCTTATTCCCAATTCGCTTGTTGGCCCCCAACAAGCATAAAAAAGAAAGCCGTGTACTAATTTGTTTGTTGCTAAGGGCGGCACTTTTCTTTCATCCATCTTTTTATTTTTTTCAATCGTTTTGTTGGAAATTTCCAACAAAACGATTGAAAAAAATGAAAGAAAGAAAAGACCCGCCCTTACCAACAAATAAATGAGTGCATGGTCTTTTTTTTATGCTTGTTAGAGGCTAACAAGCGAGTTGGAAATAAGGCTCATTGTATTAAAAGATGTATGTTCTTCATTGAAGCGAATTATTATCAATCATACACTACACTATAATAAATTCTTGTAACTAACATTCACTTGAGATCAAAGAGATCCTAATACGAAAAGGAAGAGGGGGAAAAGACTTTTGTCTAAGGGTGTACATAACTCTAAGAAGGGGAAGGAGAAAGGAGAACAACAGCATGGTGACATAAAACGAGTCCTGGAATAATTTAATACAGGAAAGTCTTCTGATGTTAGTATTGAGAACGATCATGGTCAGAATTGGACAATTCAATTCACAAATTCCATAACATAAATTTAAAGCTAAGTTGAACTGATTTAACTGAAAACTTTTCAGAACCTATAAAGCGAATTGAATTTTGAATCGGTGGTTTTTTAAGTCTGAATTACTCAACTCTAATCAAGATCCTAACGATGTTCAATTATATTTCCTTAACTGTAACGATAAGGTATAGAAATGGGAATTATCTGTACCTGTTTGTAACAAATAAATCAATATATAGATATATCCCTGGAAAGCAAAAGTTAGCCACGTTATTTTGGGTATATCGTTACTATAATAGCGTATTCTCAAAAGAATAATACTATATTCGAAAAGCGCGTGAAATTCTCTACTACTCTGTACATTTTTATTACAGTTTGCCATCATAGAATATCTAACAAAATTCAGTACAACCAAGACAACCTCATGTCCAGATTCCCAAACACTTGATTTTGCCAATGCCATTAAAAATAGATTTTGAAATTTTCCATCACTATAAAATGATCCTATAAGAAAGGAAAATATATATTCTGATAGAGCGTGAAATTCTCTATCACTCTGTATATTTATCTGTTTTTTTGCATTTGTTCATTGGGGAAATAATTTGACAACAATGACATATTCTCAACTGACAATTTCAAAATAATCAGCTTTTTCTTCTTTTTCTTCAATGATGGTAATCACAAAAATGAACTTTCACAATTGTAGCGATGTAGTCTGATAGAGCGTGAGATTCTCTATCACCCTCTGTCTTTTTTTATTTGAACTTGTGTGCTAAAAGAATAATCGAAGTGAAGATAAAGACTGTGCTTCAGACAAACTCTGGAAAATTTGACCTGGTTCAACATTCCTTTGTTTTTATTTCGTGTTGATTAGCCACACAGGAATGACTTTTTGGAAACTTTATCGTATATTTTGATAGTCCTTCATTTTCTAGATAAGCCTAATATGGTGGAATAAAAAACGGAAGGGATAGTAAAATGGGCGAACTGGTAGAGTTTGTCAGTAGATGGTTTCTGGATATTACTTGAATTGATTTGCATCTCATAAATATGAGACAGGACATAACCATTACATAGGACGATAGAGAATTTCACGCTCTATCAGAAGATGTAATTGCATCACTAAAAGTTCATAGTTTAACTAACTAAAATTCGAACAAGAAAACTAAAACGAAGCACCAAAAAGTGTCGATTTTTTGAAATTGTCAGTTGAGAATATGTCATTGTTGTCAAATTATTTCCCCAATGAACAAATGCGAAAAAACAGATAAATATACAGAGTAATAGAGAATTTCACGCTCTATCAGAATATATATTTTCCTTTCTTATAGGATCATTTTATAGTGATGGAAAATTTCAAAAACTATTTTTGATGGCATTGGCAAAATCAAGTGTTTGGGAATCTGGACATGAGGTTGTCTTGGTTGTACTGAATTTTGTTAGATATTCTATGATGGCAAACTGTAATAAAAATATACAGGGTGGTAGAGAATTTCACGCGCTTTTCGAATATAGTATTATTCTTTTGAGAATACGCTGTTATAGTAACGATATACCCAAAATAACGTGGCTAACTTTTGCTTTCCAGGGGTATATATATATATATATATATATATATATATATATATATATGTAACATACGTTCTATACCAAATATGAAGAAGACATAAAATAATATGAATGATAAAAAACCAGAATGTTCATAATTTCAATTTATTTTTATGTAAAATTTTGAAACTTTAAGCATCAGATCTTTAAAATCAAAACACTACAGCATGTCATTCATAAAAATACACTAATTCGATGTGTACCAATATACAATAGAAAAAATTTTAAAACCAACATTAAAAAAAACGAATAGAATTACAATAATCAAAAACTTTGACAAAGTTTCTGTAGAAAAATCAATAGTATTGCATATATAACGCGAACTATATTAGGCAAGTGTAGTGTATTCAAAATCGATTTTTCTTAATAAATATAAAAATGAAGTTTTATATTATGAAAAAATTTGTTTCATTTAACGAATTTACTAAACGCACGGTGATACCTAGATATGCCTGTATGTCTATTTCTGTCCTGTTAATCTAGAGTTAAGTGGATCGAGTCTCAATGAATGTTACTTGTTAGCAGCTGTCAATTCTAACAAAATTGTATATATAAGATGAAACATGATATTTTACTACTTTTATAATGATGCTATCTCATTAAAGTAAATCACTTTAAAAAAAGTTGAAATAGATTTTTTACTATGAATCACTCTTAAAGTCACCATGTCATCATAATGAAAAAAAAATCAGTCTGAATACAGAATATTTTTCCCTATTGTTTTTAAACATTTTCTAAAAAAACTCAATTAAATCTTCACTTCTCTTAAAGAATGCATATCATATCTTGAAATTTCTAGTTCGAATATCATTCGAAGACGCAATTATGTATTTGAATAATATAACTCAAAAAGTAAAAAAGATCAGTAAATTTATACGATTTGGATAGGTGTCTTCTCGTTTTATAATTTTAGTAAACGCTTGTTAAAATATAGGTTGAATAATATTTGATTCACCTTTGAAAATAAAAATAAATATTAAAAAAATGATTTAAAACAGTGAATGTTTAATTTATAAGAAATTCTTAGGGAAGCTCAGAATTTATTTTAATGCTTTTGAAATTTTCCAAAATAAATCTGTCAGAAGATCTGAATCAGTACGAAATATCAAAATGAGTTAGATTTTTTTGTAGAAATATTTATTATAATAAGGGTACGCGGAAAATATGAATAGGCAAAAATTTGCTGTTTTTGATGCTACTATTTCGTCATGGAAGGACAAGTACATTCTCTTTAGTCAAATTTAAAAATTTTCCTATGCTGTACAACAAACAGTCTGCCATGAAGTTGATTCAATATCGAGAGAATTTCGATACACACCAGTAGACTCCAATATCTTCGTAAAACAGAATTTTACGTAAACATGTACGCCTTGTATCGGAGAGAATCAGGTATTCGGCTATTGTTTTCTGCAATGAGCCTTACTGCTATCGATAAATCTATATTCCTTTTCTTACTTTTCTGATTTTCCTATGATAAACGCACTTTTGTTTAGAGTAAATCAAATATAAACTTACAAAACAATTTACTTCATCTATTGCAAGAGAATGATCGATATGAGTTTAAATATGATCAAATCAAACAGTTATAAATAAACAAAACTCTAATGTTAGACAAAGTTTCGTTTAAAAGCTGAGAGAAAAACTCTTCTCTCTGACAGCCTATTGTTCCTAGCCGTTTTTATGCTAAATAATGTAGTTTTTGAATCATCTACTTTTACTGAGCGTGTCAATGTTTTGTTCCTTATCAAGCGTTCATTATCAAAAAGAAGAGAATATTGTCGATAAAATCAATACGAATGTGTCAAGAGTTTAAATACTTTTATTTTATTTTCATTTATTTTTTGCACACAAAATAATAGAAATGATCCGTTTATAAGCAATTCTTCTTTCTTTTCGAAACGGCTTATTTATATGATTGATCTTAGTTTGTTATGGTTAAAAACGTATTAACACAAAGACGAATACAGACATTTTGATTTTTCATCAAGATCATAGTCAACTATATCAAAGAACTTTTCCATGCTGAATGATATAAAAAATAACTATACATACACGAATAACAATAAGTATACAATAAAATTGAAGTGTCATCCACGTGTTACTTGGCGATCAATATTTGCTGTTGTGAGTCTTGGTTATATTACTAACATTAAAAAAAAATTCATTGTTGGTCGAGCATACTCTATGTCAATATTGTTTCTATTTGTAATGAAGGAAAATGTATGAAGATATTGTTAAAGATGATGAATAAGTTTATTTGAAGATAATTAATAAAGGTCTTAGTTTACTATATGTTTATTTCTCTTATTATTAATCAAATAACATGAAGAGAAAAATTTCGATCTATTTTCATTTCATTTGTAATTTTGATAAACAAAAGTCTTGATGAAAGAAGAGTTGTAATGATTAGTAGAATGTTTGTTATTATGAATTTAAAATAACCTTCAACGATTTAATATTTATAAGCAAACTTTAAATTCATATGAATGACCCTATAAAGTATGTTATCATAATTTTTATTATTATTAGAGATATATTTGTAAGGAGATATAAAGTAAATAATGATTAAATATGTTAAAAACATCGTAATCTTTTAGAAATTCTTACTAGAGAATGAAATAGAGAGTGAAGATGAAACTTATTTTTTAAATAATAATGAAAATAGTAGCACTCTAAATAACAGTAGATCATAGAAATCGATTCATGATTAGCTTAGAGCTTCTTTACAATATTTTAGTGCATTATATTTTGCTGTATAGACAAATCTTTATTAGAACGATGACAGATTTAGAGGGTTAGTACCGGAGCCACCATTGCTTCCGTCCGAATAACTTTTAAAATTTTTCTCAGCAGAAAACCTTCCAAAAATGAACCGACACGACCTCTAGTTGAACTTCAAAACAGGCTTTGTGGTAACAGTAGCCTCCACTTATCAAAAGTCTAGGTCTCCCAATGGATTAGAAAAATGGTTAGCATCTATAAAAATAAATCAGACTTGAATCTCGCTCCAAGTTACGGATTCCTCCCTCAAAAAGAGTGTGGATATGGTAAAAAATTTCATGTTTCTATACTTTACCGTTCAGAAAATTTTCAGGAACTAAACTCTAAAACAGGGTTTTTACATGTACAAATCTTTTTAAATATACTTCAAGCTACAGAGTTCGGGTTGCTTTTATTTGAAAGAGAATTCCTTACTGCTCCAGATGAAGGAAAGGGTTTTTTAATTTTTCCTTTGTTGCATTTTTTATATCACTGAAATCTAAAAATCTAGAAATTCTAGGCATGGTTTTCTGGAAAACTCAGAGTTTCTATAGTATTGACAACTAATTAGAAAAAGTCTTTTCCCTCATCTGAAAGACCATGCATATATCTATCGATGAAAAAAAAATACAACTGTCTAGATTGAAGTATATTGAAAAAAATTTGTTCACAGTTTGATCATTACCAAAAAAATCAATTCCGAGAAAAATAATTGTCTTTTTATTCGTTATACCATTGAACAATGTGATAACAACAGAAGAATAGCAAATTAATTGTTCTGATTCACTTGCTACCTTACAGTTTTTTAAAGGCTTATAATAATGGTTAGTATTTACGAATAACTCATAAGAATTATACTATTCTATTTTATATAGAACATCTACTTTGATCAAGCCTCAAAATCTTAATATACCCTATGCGTACAATGAACTGTATGCGTTCTGAGGAGATCTACTGAATTTCTAAGATGAAATTAAATAAGAACTCCTGCTTATATGATCGGGTTTCATTATGGTAAAATTGTGGAAAACGTGACTACAATAACGTCTCGTTATAACTAGAATTCAGCATGGAATCAGTTCGGAGTCAACTAAATTTCTGACCGAAAATTTAGTTTTAACATATGAACTTATTTTGAATAGTAGGTTTGTATTCTTTGATATTTGTTGTACAAACTGACACATTTTCAGGGATTCTAACGACATCTTATCAAAGTCAATGGATATGAAAAAAAGTCGGAGTTGAATTTGACTCCGACTTTGCTTCGTATCCGGATGCCTCTATTACACATTGTTGAAACCTCCAAAATGCATCAGTTTGTACAGCAAATATCAGAGAACACAAACCTACTATTCGAAAAAGTTCATATGTTAAAACTGAATTTTTGGCAAAAAATTTAGTTGATTCCAAATTTGAATCTGTACAGGGCTTTAGTTATAATATATGAACTACTTCCTCATTGCATTTCTAGAGGATTAAGTAATATACTGGTGAAGAAATGTATCTCAAAATAGATAGAATAAAACAATCTTCCTGTGATTAGCAAGAACAGCTACATCCTGTTTCATATTTTAATCCCCTAGGGATTTCGCTAACAGCTTTTATTTTAGTAAATCCTTCAAAAATAATTATAACCTCTCAATAACAATTATTCTCTTCGTCATATGTATTCATAAGAAATATTATAACATGAAAACATTGTTTTACAACGAAATCATTAAGCTTCTGAACGATTCTTGTTCTCTGTTTAGACTATAGACCCTCTATCGTTCAGTTTATTTCTATTGGTTACTATCTCTTTGTCCAATTGTATTTGTTCTTTTTTCTTGCCTATATGTCATTCTTTGTTCGGTAATTATACAAGTTATTAATGGCTGAAAGTAATTCTTCAGAAAATATTGAAGATGAAGCAATTCGTCATCGTCATGAACGTCGAGAATTACAATCAACAATTCAACAATTAAAAAAATCAATAAATAAAAATGATAAAACACGAAAGAAAAAAATTGATAGTGAAATAAAAGCTTTAGAAGAAGCATTTGAAAAACGATGGGAACATTTTAATGAAAATTCAACTACGCTTGAATCGAATACAACTATTGATTCTATTCAATCAAATGAAAATCTTCCTGAAGTTAGTCGAAAAGAAAAACATCTTTCTATTTTCTTTAAACACTTTCATTTTGTTAGACTGATGAAAAACAACATGCATCACGTAAAGCACGTCGTTTAGCTAATAAAGAAAAACGTCAAGCTGAACTTAATGCAAATCAAGAAATCATAGATTATGATAATCAACCAGAATCAATACGTAGTCGTAATGAATCTTTATCAATAGATGAACAATTACATGAACGTGGTCTTGAACTTTATTCAATAGCATCTGATGGTAATTGTCTATTTGCTTCAATTGTTAATCAATTATCAGATTTAAATGTACGAGAATTACGTGAACAAGTTGCTGAATATTTACGTAAACATCGAAATGAATATGAACCATTTATTGATACAAATTATGATATTTATTGTGATAAATTAGCTAAAGAAAACATTTGGGGTGGACAAATTGAATTACAAATATGTGCAAAAATTCTACAACGATCTATTGAAATTATTCAAGGAAATGGTAATGAACCAATTAAAATTGATTGTCCATCATCGTCAAAACCACCGATTATTATAACTTATCATCGATATTTATATGCTAATGGTGAACATTATAATAGTACAATGAGGACTCAGGAAAACGATAATGAATAAATAAAATTTAAAAAAACAAAAAAAAAAAGAAAGTTGTTTTCTGTTCTTTTTATTAATTTTATGTTTTAGATGAAGATTACTATTCATTGGGGTAGAGTTTTTGGTCTTTTTATTGCAATTATAGTTGTTTTTATTGCTATTATATGTTTTAAATTAATAAATAAATCAAATCAATTTAATGATGAAGATATTGGTCAATGTGATATGCATGAAGCACAAAAGATTATTGATAATCTTGTACGTTTTTTTTTTCGTTTGTCTTTTAAATTTATTAGTAGCAAATATAGAACAAAAAAAAGACGTTTTAAAATAGAAATGCTTAGAAGAGATTTGAAAATGGAAAATATAACCCTTTGGCCTCAGATTCAGGTCGAAGTTTTAATATTTTTTTAGTTTTCATGTTTTTTCTCTTTTCTATTTATTATGTATTATGGCTATAGTCATATAGAGACTACGACTCAATACAATTAATCCTATTTTAAAAAGCGATAGCTATTAAGAACCTGAAGTGATGATTTATTTAATGCATCCGTGACACTTGATTTTTTTTTAATATCACTTTCACGTATTTCTTATACTATTTTATTTGAATAATTATGCATACATAGTATAGCAATTTAGTTGATTGTTCTTATTCGAATGGAGATTGATTTATTGACTAAGTGTTCACTAACGATGGTGCTGCGCATGACGACTATCAAGTAAGAGAAGATCAGAAAAAGAAGTATTTTTACTCATAGATACTAAGATAACTTATTAACGATGATCCTTTGTTAAAGGAATCTATACATAGATGCGAACAATTACAGGGAAGTCGACAAAAAAGAAGAAGATGAAGATATTGATATCAATATATAGAAGAAGATGATAACATTGAATAACTTCCATTTAAACAGAAATATCGAGAACAGCACTTCTGAACTTGGTGATTAAAATACTTGACCAACATTAAAGATGTTACTTTTGTGTATATGTTCATTATTATCTATGTAGCATAGTATAAATTTGAAAAATTAATGTGAGGCTTTTTCTTCCCACAAATATTTTCTTTCAATCTTTTCATAAATTCAGTTCCATAATCTGTTGGTAATATTATATCATTATGTAATCTATAGATATTCTCTAGCAAGCATCCAAGTATGGTGATAAAACAATAAAAATTCGTTTGAGAAGAAGTGATTATAAAAGAAACCATTTCTCAACCTGAATTTGAGATTAAATGAGTATAGTTTATTCAATAATTTATCGAGCTAATATGATCAGTTTAACTATTCTTTGAAACATCTACTAGTTCACTTGCCATATCGATATTTCACATATTAATATGAGAACATCTAAATTAATTTGAATATTTTAGTGTGAATTATATTCCCTTAGTCAAGTAACTGGTTCTCATTGTTCATCATTATGTAATATAAATTCAACATTAACATTAGCTCAATGTTTATCATTATCTCAATCAAAAATAGTATTACTTATGTCAACAAATACATCATCATATATTGTATTAAAATCTAGACGTCGTTATTTTGATAAACATCCTACAGATTTATTATTTCATGAACCAATTGTATCAATACCATCAGCTCTCTTAACATTTTATGGTATAATTAATTCAACATTAGATGGACATTTGGGTATTTCAATAGATGATTTAAAAAAAGAAGATTTAATACGTCGTTTATTTCGTTATGATCATATTGAAAATTCAATGATTTTATTAGATAAATTTGAAGATGTAATTATTAAATATAATGATTATTATGAACACAATCTTGCATTATCATTAACAACAGAACTTAATACACTTTATTCATTAATAACACAACATGAATTTTTACTTTCACATTATTATCGTTCAAAACATGAATTAATGCCTAAAATTATTGGTTGGTGTGGTCATATATATTTAACAGAACATTTAACACCACTTAATCATCCAATGATTGAAGAACAATTAAATTCTCAAACATGGATACCTAAAGCTTGGTTAGCTAATCGTTTACTTCAACTTATTGATAGTTTTGATAATGAACTTCATGCTCCACTTCATTTATGTGATCTTCGTAAGTAAAAATTCTTGTTTGATTTTCTAAATGAGATAAATCGTTTCTGAGATGAATAGATTTGTTTGAAAAACAAAATGATGATGATCTATTATGGAATTTATTGTATATAGAAAAATAAGAATCGATAATTATTCAATTGAAAAATATCAACTTTAAAAAAGATCAATATCTTTTCATCTCTATCGAGAACTTCTGTATGAATTTTAACGAGCTTCAGAAAAAGTCGATAATCATATCCAAGAGAGTATATTCGTATTTGGCAAGTGTTTGCTTATCTTCTTTCCCACAGCAGGATAAAAGGTCACGGTCTTCTCTTACACCTTGTGAAATTTTTCTTGTGAACGACATTTTATTTTGGCGGAGGGAGATTGCTCAATAATTTGTGTTATCATTAGAGCCCGTTAGGTTGGGTTCGGGTTCGGGTTCGGAATCAATCCAACAGGTCATACTCTAAAGATACCAGCCGATTATGGCATTATTAATATTATTATTAAGTAATCAACAAAAAGTATTTCGTATCTTTAGAGCGACTATAAAATTCACAAGAGAACAATCCCAAGTGTTCACATCTTTTTGAGCTGATATTTTATCCATAAGAAGGCTTTGGAAAAGCCTCTAAAAGTTTGGTGATCATGGGTGTTCCTTGCCGAGATCTGAATTGTTCATTCGAATATTTGCCATGCACGTGAAAGTAATAGCAAATGATTTTTGATGATTATTAAGAGGTAGGAGAATGTAAATCTTTTTGAGAGTGAACCTAATGATAACTAGATTATACTAGATCTTCCGACGTTTTTTTCTTCAGTAATATTTCCATTAGAGCATGAAAATATTCAACAGTACAATAAATACTTGTATTCTGTGATCAGATCATGATGAAATTTCATTAAGTTTACTTTCAAAAAGATTTATAGTCTCCTGTCTTTTAAAAGTCGTCAAAAAGCATTTGCCATTACTGTCATATGTATGGAAAATACCCGAGCAAATCAATTCTTGACAAGGAAAGCTTTAATCAATTAGGTCTGAGTGATAAAATTTTAGACACGACGGATTCTATTAGCCATTCGAGCATTGATCATATCAATAGATATATATTCAGAAATTTCTCAAAAAGAACGACGAATCATTATGAAAAAAAAGTAATTCTAGAAACACTATTTTATGTATTCAAAGCGTTTATCAATTGATTTTAATTTACTGTTAAAACTTTCTTCTGATCTACATTATGTATTTTCTTTTTGTTTTTTTTAGAATTATCTAATTTTGGTATAAATGAAAATGGTAATGTTAAATTACTTGATTTAGATATGGCTTATTTTGATCGTTTAATTCCATTAGATCCTGCAGCAAGATGTCGTAAACATTCTGATTGTTCATTTTTTGATTGTTCAGGTTATTGTGATAAACGTAAACATCGATGTCATGTTAATCGTCGTATAAATAATAATTTACAAGTTTTATGTGAAAAAATTCTTTTAAATTTATTAAAATCTAATACAATTCCATTACGTTTACATGATGTACTTTTATCTTATGTTAAACAATGTTCATCACCATTAGGTCGTTATAAACGATCGAAAGAATTAAAAGTTGGTGCACCATCACGTTTTCTTCGTTTAATGCAAGTTATGCTTATTGGTGAATTAAGATCTGCTAATATAACTTCATATTTATTTTAAAAATACAAAACAAAATGATACAATAGAATATTTGTTTCTTTTTTTTGTCGTAGTGCAATTAAAATTAGATTTATTAATTACATATGAGACTTTGTTTTTTTTTCTGTTTTTGCAGTGATCGATAAATCATTCCATGTTCTTGTTTCCTGTCAGATAAATTGTATACATTCCATCTTTTTAGATAACAAAAAAAAAGAAATCTAATGGCCGATGATGGTGGAGAACGATTTGAAATTGAACGTATTGTTGATAAACGTTATCGAAATGATCGCGTAGAATATCTTATTAAATGGCGAGGTTATCCCGACAGTCAAAATACATGGGAACCTTGTAAGTAAACAAAACAAAAAAAAATTTAATAAATCAATTTTAAATATATTATTTATTTTTTAAATAGCAAATAATATTGAAGGTGATGAAGAATCAGAATTACTTGCTGAATATGAAGCATATAATAAACGTCAACAACAAAAAATGTTTAATTCAGGAACACGACCAACAATGAATACTCTATCACCAAATAAACGTCGACAAGTAATATTAAGAAAGAAAAACAACTCAGAAGAAAACGAAAATTGATTATTTCTATCTAGGATGAAATAATGAATACTAATTTAAAAAAACGACCATTAAACACAGGTAATATGCAATCATCAAATACTCCGACTGGTTTTGAACGTGGATTTGAAGCTGAAAAAGTCTTAGGTGCAACAGATTCTGCTGGTGAACTTATGTTACTTGTTAAATGGCGTCATTCAAATGAAGCTGATCTCGTTCCAGCACGTATTGTAAATGTAAAATGTCCAGGACTTGTTATAGATTTCTATGAACAACATTCATTTTGGACTCGATTACCAAAATTAGCTCAAACTGGTGGATCTACACCACGATGAATTTAATTTTGACATATTTTTCTTTTTTTTTGTAAATTTATGTTTGTATTTCACTGAAAGAAGAAAACAACAAAAAGAAAAACAAAAGAGAAGTAAATGATATTGGTCATAAATTTGTCAAAAATATGTTTAATCTATTTTTGGCTTTTTATTATCTGAAACAAATATTACCTATGATAAGAATACCAAGTAAATATATATTTAATCTGTCTTTGGTTAAAATATTAAAAAAAAACATAATCTGATAGAAAAATATTGATTTGTTCGTTTTTCATTAAGTAATAAATTTTTTATTTGAAAACAAATATATGATGTTGATAATAAAGACCAGATGTTGAAAAAATAAAACAATCATTCGCATGAGATTTAACATGTTTGGATAAGAAATTTTGAGATTACTCATTGAAAGTCACGTACTTCATTTTTTTTGCTTGCTGCTGACATTTGCTATTGAGTGCATGTGTTTGACTCATTCTTAACAAGTTTGTTTTTTTTCTTGAAAAAAGTACATCGCCTTGAATATTTATTCATGTACATTGACGAGGTCATAGAACTCATAAAATAATTTCTTCTATCGTTTCTACTATTTACCTTAATGTAAATTCAGTCGAACGTTTTTTATTGCTTCCTTTCTTTTTTTTTCGATGGCATAATAACGGTTATGTCTGTCGTCTTTTTTTCCAATTTCGTATAGTTTACTTGCTTGAGAAGAGAAAAAGAAATAGAGAATACACTTTCAACCTTTGAGTGATTAATAGAAGGGCATATAACATTCAACACAATCGTCGTTTGCTATAACAGTAAATCATGGCTGCTGGTGGTGCAAATAATTCTTCATCTGAAATCAATGTGGTCATTATTGGAGAAACAGGCACTGGTAGGAATTAAACTATAGAAGAAATATTTCAAACATTTAAAATAAATGTTTTATTCGAATATGTTCTCTCTTATCATTGTTAACTGTCAAAATAATAAATCTTGAAGAATTCTCATTCGGACCATAGATTTTCTTGTTAGATTAGTATCTTTCAACTTTAACTACTAGTTATAGTCTATTCATCATATGCAAAAATGTAAAGATTCTACCATTAATTTCTTGGTTTTGTTAGTAATCAACCTGTCTAATTCAATAAAAAAAAAGCCTTGAAAAAAAAATGTACTATATTAATTCATTGTTTATAGAAACAGTCATGCCTTCTATTACTTAACGTTTTTTAATTTCTTTCAAACTTAAAAGTACTTACATAGAAGTTTTCTTTTTCGCTATGATTAATAAGACAAACTTAAATAGGAAAATAAACAAGTTTGAGATTAAAAAAAGAAAATTTAACCCTTTGAGTACCGGTAACGCGAATTCGCGTCCTGATAGTTTAGGGTATGAATAAGTATAGAAAACATGATCGTTTGATTATTTTATGATATGAATTACATGAATATTTGCGTTTAAGATATTTGTACAGTTAAGACTATCTGTACCTAGTGATGAATATTGATTGTTCCCTAATATTTCTATCGACCACTATGTGATTCAATGAATTAGAACATAAGCCATTGGACAACATTTTCCAAGAAAGAATAATCGTTATCAACAGGATTTTTCATATTAACACAGTCATTCAAGAGTGTTATCTATAGTAAAGGTTCTGATCAATTGATCACATTTGATAACATTTTCCTTCGCGCATTGAATCAACAGAGACTCAACTAAATCCAAGAAGAAAATGTCACGTTTGTGCCAATACTATGAGAAGAGCCAGATCAAGAAGAGATACTTCGTATGAATGCATTGAATGTGATGTAGGATTGTGTCTTATGGATTGTTTTAAAGACTATCACACTCTACAAGCATTTTAATTTATGTACTTTGTGATATTTTTTGCGAAATAAACGTTAGTTTGAAATTATAAAAATTTTTATTATATAAAAATAATCTGGTACTCAAAGGGTTAAACTTTAAATATTCTTAGGTAAATCAACATTTATTAATTATTTAACAAATCTATTTTATAATGGTTCATTAACAAATCTTAAAGTAGCTATACCAACACATTATTTAAAAGCTAATATGTCATCTATCATGCCTCAACATCATGAAGCTTGTTTAGAGGATGGTACAGGTAGTAAAACAACTAAATGTACAAAATATACATTTACTGTTGAACAAGTTCATTTCAATTTTTTTGATACACCTGGTATAAATGATACCGGTGGTTATCTATCGGATAATGAAAATGTTGATCGAATATTTGAGTGTATTCAAACATTACAACATTTAACAGCTCTTGTACTTGTTCTAAATGGTACACAAGCACGTTTAACAGTTAATATACGAAATGTTCTTGAACGTTTTCGTGATCGTATACCTGATGTTATTTATAGAAATATAATTGTTATATTAACAAATTGTGCATCACATACAGTTAATTTTGGTTCAGTTAAATTATTAAATCATGCACCTGTATTTCATATGCAAAATTCAGCATTTTCATCTGATGCTCGAAAATGGACATCTCAAACACGTGAAATATTACAACGTGATTGGAATATATCAATGCAAACAATGAATGATTTTATTAAAACTTTAATAACATTAAAACCTATTTCAACTGAATCATTATCGGCAATGAATGATGATCGTAATGCTATACGTAGTATTTTACATGAAAGTCGTCTTATGATTATGGAATTGCAACATATTGAAGATGAATTAACTGCACTTGAACAAGCATCAAATATTTATTCAGCGAATGTTGAAAAATATTCATCGATTAATGGTCAACCAACAAAATCGATTCAGGCAAGTAAATAAATGAACAACGAGAAGAAAACGAAGAATACCCCACCTTTCAGCCACCTTACAGTATAGGATACTGCTCGGAGATAGCTTCTTTAGTCCGATATCTTTCTTACCACTACTGCTAACTGTAACTCTGGACAGAAGAATCAGTCTGGCTCAAAGTTCTTTTGTTCAATTACTACAGTTTCTCATACATGCTAAGTAATTACATATACTAGCCACAAGAGCCAGTATAGTCAGTGTACTATCGAACGAGTCATCCAAGGCAAGCAGTCATTTCCAACTTGCTCCGAACCATTCTATAGTTGATCATGCCAAAGTTCGAACATAGGACTTTAGAGATGTGCATGAGATAAGATAACCATTCAACCATAAGGATTAAATAAACAAAATAAGAAATAATAATAATAATAATAATAATAATAATAACATTTTCAAATTTAATATAAAAACTTTTTTTAGATGAATGAAATAACTGTAACATCATATCACAATACAATATGTTTAAAATGTAATACAGTTTGTCATGAACGATGTTCATTAACAGAAACAACACGAGTTGGTGAACGTGTTTTTCGACGTTGTACAGTTATTGTTAATGGTCGATGTACTGTATGTGCTGGTAAATGTTCTTATGATATACATTATCATGATCGACGTCTTATTAAAAGTGTTCCAAGAACATTAAAGGTAGCTATATCATCCATGGCAAATAAATATGCGGAAGCACGAAAAGATAAAGCAGCTTGTGAAACAAAATGTGAGACGGTTCAAGAAACAAAACGTGTCATTGAACAATCATTACAAGAACAATTTACTAAAGTACGTGATGCATGTTTACGTGTAAGAAGTAATTGTCAAGGCTTTAATGTAGCCGAAGAATTATGTATATTTGTTAATTTTCTTAAAAATGATATGAGTTCATTACGATCATCATCAGTTAAGAGAAAAGCAGCAAAATTTGTTGAAAAACTTGAAACACTTGCAGATGATTTGCAAGATGATGACTCTTTAATATCTATAATTGAACCACCGTCAACATCAGCAATACATCCACCAATGTCACCTTCAGTTGCTGCTAAACGAAAAACGACCAACAATAATAATAATAGTAATAATAATAACACTAATAATAATAATAAACAACCTTTAAAACCATCTCAACAACAACCAACATCAACAGTAGTGAGTAGCATAAATATTATCTAAAATTAACTGATAGATTTTTATTTTATGATCAAATAATAGAATGACGATTTGATTTTACTTAATCCATCACCTACTTCATGTGTAATGGCACAAGTTGATCATATTCTAAGTGGTTCATTTAGTTCATTAAATGTAATTGGTGATGATCCATCAACTGAAGATGATGAACAGCGAAGGAAAAAAGTATCAACAGTTGCTATATCAGATTCGCTTCTTCGTAATCAATCTATTCAACAGCAACAGCTATCATCGGAGTCAACTGATAGTCGTAAATATGCTGAATATTCAACTGAACGTCTTGTTGCTCTAAGTCGTGAATCCACTGAAGAATACAAATTAATTGCAAAAGAATTGAATCGACGCTGTGGTGGTACATCAATTGGTTATTTAACACCTGCACAATTATCTATATTATGTGAATACTATGCATCATCTCGAATGTTACAATTGGATGAACTTATTCGTGTACATTCCCAACTTCAATTAGATATACAGCAATTAACTGATCATGATCCATTCGAAATACTTTCTGTGCCAACAGATAAATTATTACATTTAGCTGCTGTTTCACTTTGTTTACAAAACGCTAATAAATACCAATAAGAATTCATTTTTATTTTTTCGTTTTTTTCCTCGTATATTTTAGATTATCGTTTTGCCCTTATATGCGAACTTCATAACAAGTAATCCTATAATGGCATCTGCATATCAAGTAAAAGAAACAATGTCGGGTGCAATGAGTCGTCTTAGTGTTGGTGGTAATCAAAATACAATGAAGAATAATGAAAATAATGATACACGTCATCTTTCACTTGATACATCGAATATAGCGAAAGTATTAGTAATTGGTGAAACAGGCAGTGGTAAATCAACATTTATTAATTATTTAACAAATTATTTTCGTGGTGGTTCATTACAAAATATTAAAGTTGCTATACCATCAAAATATCGTCCAATTATTACAGAACAATTCTTACATTGTGAAAATAATATACGAGATACTACACAATCAAAAACGGATATGTGTAATCAATACATTTTTGTTGATACTGCAAGTCCTGCTCAAAGACAATATCTCTTTCTTGATACACCTGGTCTATCAGATACGCGCGGAGCTGAACAAGATAATGTCAATATGAACAAAATTATCGATGGGGTAAGCTCTATATCAAATCAAAATCTAGTACCATTTATCATTATGCTATTTTAGGTTGAATCATTGGGCGGTTTATCAGCAGTGATCATTGTTGTCAATGGTACAACGGGACGTCTTACATTGAATCTTCGTAATGTTATTGCACGTCTTCGTGGTAATTTACCTGATGTTGTCATGGATAATGTTATTGTTATTTTGACTAATGCTAAACGGCATGAAGCTAATTTTAATATATCATCTCTTCAATTACATGGTACCGTTTATCCATATTATATGCAAAATTCCGCTTTTTCACAAGATCCAAATGCGTGGGATCAAGCAGCACTTGATGCATTACAATATGATTGGGATGCATCAATGGATGAATTAAGGCGAATGATTGAAACAATTGATACATTTAAAACAAAATCTGTGACAGCATTTAAAGATATGAAAGATATACGTAATGCAATAAAAGCATTAATGCATGAGGCACGATTAGAAGTTTCACGGATACAAAGAATGCAAGATGAATTAGCTGCATTTGAACATGCACTTAAACAATACAGAACAGACGAAGTAACATATAAAGATTATACACGTGAACGAATTGTTGAAACAAAAGAATTAGTTGATACAAAATATCATTCAAGTAAGTATATGAATGCTCATTTTAATAAAATGAATTGCACTCATATACAGTGAATACGAAAATTATTTGGTACGATTTGTTTTCAATTTTTTTTTATTGTCTTAAGGTTTAGAAAAACATCGAAATAGTGATTCAAGTAGAGAAAATTGTTTCCAATAAGATTGTAAGAAAATAATAATTATTATCAGATTTCCAAAGAAAGTGGTCTCCAGAAAACCAAAATGCTAGTTGTTCAGCACACAAAATGCGTAAATATAATATTGTTTGGACTACATAGAATGACATAGCGAACGATTCTCTAGAGAATAAGATAGCTTCAATTTTTCTACGATATTTTTTTTGTTGATATACAGCAATTTGATTCAAGGTCCAAAAATAATTTTTCTACAGGAAATAATAAAAAATAACTTTACGGGCTTTCATAATATTGCTATATCTCAACAAAAAAGTATCGTAGAGAACTCGGAGATGTCTCATTTTGTGGAAAAAAAAATGTTTGCTCTATCATTCTGTACAGTTCAAGCAAAGTAATATTTAGTGTTCTATGTGCTGAAAAACTTGAGTTTTGATTTTCTGGAAGCCTTATCTTTGGAAATGTGATAATAGTTATTATTTCTTTATAATCCTATTAGAAATAAATTTCTCCACTCGAATCACTATTTCGATTCTTTCCAAAGCTTCAGACAGTAAAAAAAAAAAAGTTGAAAACAAACCTTGTTGAAGAATTTTAGTATTCACAGTATATACCATCATGGTATTATATTTTATTTTTATAATAGCTGTATGTCGTAAATGTGATCATGTTTGTCATGATAAATGTGGTCTTCATGAAACATCAACATATGGAAATCGTATATTTCAACGATGTTGGGCTATGTCACTTGAAGGTCAATGTTATATATGTCCAGGTCATTGTCTCTATACAGAACATTATCATGCACGTAAAACAATGAAAATTAAACAACAAAAATTACAAGATGTACTTCATGATATAAAAGCAAAATATGATTTAGCAACACGTAATAAAGCTGATTTTGAATCACGTATAACAACAACACAAGATGCAAAAAAAATGTTAGAACGTGCATTAAAACAAAAATTAGAAGAAATCAAACATAAATGTGCTGAATTAAGACGAATATGTAGTGGTTTTAATTTAGCTCAAGAATTACATGCACTTATTGATCAACTTAAAGCTGAAGCAGTTATGTTAAGAAATATTGAAGCTAAACAACAAGCTGAAGAATTTATTCGTAGTTTAAGTGAATTTTGTCGACAATTAGAAGCTGATCAAGTTGCAAGACAAGTTTTACCACCAATGCGTCTTATTGATACATATACATCAAAACCATTTCGTTCACCATCAATATCATCATCGACATCAACAAGAATAACATCTCCAGCATCACCATCAGAAAATACACCAAATTTAAATACAAGTGTACTTGATTTAATAACTAGATTAAATAAACCTAAAAAACCATTACCACCAACATCTGATGAAGATGATGATGATAATGATGACAATAGTGAAAACGATGATGATAATGAAAATATACGTGAAACACCATCAACATCATCACGTTCTAGTCGTAATCATCATCAAACAGATAATGATAATCATCATCATGATGATGAAATTAGTTCAATACATGATCGTCGCAAACGACGTCAATTACCACTAAATCATACTAATACTAATACTAATAATAATAATAATTCTTTACAACAACAATATGCTGCATTAACAACAACAGAACTTGTTCAACGATATACAGATTGTAAAGATGCACGAAAATCAAATGCAATTTTAATTGAACTTAATCGTCGTTCACAAGGTAAATCAACAGGTCCACTTGTTTCACCAACTGATATTGGTACATTTGCACGTTATACACAATTATATGGTTCACAAGATGCACCAACATTAAGTCATTTATATTTACAACTTCAACAAAGAATTTCAAATATGACTGAACCTGATATACTTAATATTATCCGTGTACCTGGTGATCTTTTACTTGAAATTTCTGCAATTTATACACTTATTGCACAGAAAAATCAACAACAACAACAAGGACAAAATACTGATGGAAATTTTGCTAATGAATCTGCATTTGAACGACCACCTGATCATATAGCATCTTCAATGATGATGAAAATGTCAACACCAACTTCTCAACCAGCTATGGGGTTTTTTTCATCTCCTGTTAGTCATCATTCAGGTGGAGCAACAACAACAACAACATCAACAACACCTAATACTTTTTTTAAACCTATTCAACCAACAAATATGAATAATGTTAATATTCAACCAACTTCTTTACAAACACCAATCTTTTCTTTACCAACGTCAACTCTTTCATCAACGTCTTCGACACAACAACAACAGCAACAACAACAACCACAACCACAACAACAACAGCAATCTTCTCTTTCGTTTGCAGGTTTTACAGGTATGATTTAGTTTTCTGCACGGATACGATTTTGCACAACCGGATCCGGACAGCGGTATCCGGTACCCGATAGAAGCTAATCGACATCCAGCAGATATTGTCACAGTTATAGTACAGTTCTCAAATCTTTATATGAAAACTAGGATTCACTCGGTGGCTTTCTGCTTCTGAAATCTGATCCATTTCGCTAAGTATACGTTTGCTTGCTGCTGATGACGTTAGAATGAAATGCAGTGTGTTGCTGTCAAATATCATAATTGTGAATACATACAGAAATGCTTTTTTCCATCATGATCATACATGTTCACATTTTTGATAATTCATTTTTATCTTCGTGTATTCAGTTACTTCGCCATATGGTTCATCGTCATCTGTAGATGAATGTTCATTAAAAACAAATTCTTTTAATAAAATAATATCAATTGTCACTTCTGTAACTTTTTCTTAAGTACAATAAATTGCTCAATCGTGATTGAATCGGTTTTCACTTTAATGCTTTTATAAAAATCAGCAGTTTGAAAAAGTAAAAACATTTTAAAACGCCAAAATTTTATTAATTTCCGAGTCGGATTCCAGGTATGATCTCATACCCAAAATCCGAACCGACCCGACGAATTCGCACCTGGACCCATGCTTCGTGCTGGGTCAGGTGCCACGTACTCGACTCTATTGCAGGATGCTAGTATGATTGTATAATCATTTTTTTTTGAACTAGAGAATCAATTTTATATCTATCTATAGGATATCATACTGGTAGTGGAGATAGCAATAGTGCTTCTTCACAATTTCAATTTCAAAAACCACCCCCACCTCCACCTCCATCTGTTGTTCCATCATCATCAACTACTATGATGCCAATCTCAACAACAATACGATCTGATCGATCCGTAACTGATTCACCATTTACATTTATTTCTCCACCATCATCGAATGTTCTTGAATCAACTTTTGCATTTGTTACACCAACAACAACCACAGCAACAAATAAAGATGATTATACTATGGTAAATATAGCACCATTACCCAATATAAAAACTGATGATGATATAGCTAATGATAATACATTAACAAATACAGATATGACACATTTATTAACATTATATAATGATGCAAAATTGTCAAATAAAAATGCACAATTATTTGCTATTTATCAAGAATTAGAACGTCGTTGTACAGGTGCTAATTGTAATCAATTAACAAAAGATTATTCTGTTATATATGAAACAAAATTAAATGAACATGCACATAAAACATTAACTGAATTAAAACAAATTTATTCAAATATACAACAACAAATACGTATGCGAACAAATAATGATGCGACACGTATTAATGATGTACCTAAAGAATTGATTATTGAATCAGCTGCACTTTTAGCAAATATTAAACAAAAAGAAGCATATATTTAACTGACTATATACATTGATTATTTGTTTTTTTTCTTTTAACTGTTTCACAATATCAATTTATTCTCGTTTGAATGTTTTGTCCCTTTGCTTTTATTATTCTTTGAATAAAATTATCAACATATTTAATAAATTATAAACAATCATATTACTTTTATGTTCTTACAAATGAGTTCCAAATTTCGTATGAAGTACACGCTTCCCCACTTTCAAAAACATTGATCTCTATCAGAATTATCAAAATGAAGATAAACTTATAGGAGACAAGCTTGAGATCGAATCTTTCAAGAACAATATGATTTTTGCTATTTGACATGTTGTTTTTTTTTTTGACAAAAATATTCGATGATTTTCATCGCTTAAAATCGACTTTTTTTTTGAGCAAACGGAAAATCTTTTTTTCATTTCTGCTTTTCTGATTGTGCATTCGAAAATTCTCGAAGGAGCTTCATTGTAGATAATCATTTTTCTTTTTATTTGAAAGAGCATATGAAACTACAGTGCTTGTCAGAGCGCGTTTTAAATTTAGCTTTTTTATTATTATTATATCAAAGTACACTTCTATAAATAGATGAGTATTTTATTAAGAGTTTGTCGAGGCAAAGAGTTTGATATTCTTTTTCTCTGCTTGAAAAGTTAGAACTTAAAAAGAAAAGAACTCTGCCAGACACTACAATCTGACATTCTCTATCAAAAAAATAATAATTAAATATATAGAATGAGCACCCACAGAGAATTTTGCATTACCAAATAAGTTATTTTTGAATCTTATTGGATGAATATGGCCCAACAACATCATGATATAGGATTGCAATTTTTAGCATGGTTTCTTCACTATGGTACTAATATAGTTTGAAAATTTCGTGTGATTTGAATATATTTGCCTCAAGATCTATTTTGCAGGGTGGGATGAACGAACTTAAATATCAATCGACAGATAAAATAAACGTTATAATAATTGAGACAGTTCTATGAGTCTTTGTCATACGATAAAAGATTAGCAAAAAAAGCCTTAGTATAGAAAACATCAGTAGTTTTCAAATAAAAAAATTGAGTAAAATTCCACAACATAATATTACAATCATCATGAATACAAAAATGATGTAACTTTATTATTAATGGACACGTATTCAAAGCATCTGGCTTCTTCATTATATTAACAACACAAAGCCATAGAACGGACATATTGTAGCATAACATATTCTTGACTCACAAAATGGCAAAAGAAAAATAATATTAATTGATTCAAACATTAAAAATGAGTGATATGTATTCATTGTCTGTATCATATTGAGCAAAATAATGATTAAGAAAAAATTTTACCATTAATCTTATGCTTACTCTCTAAAAATTGAAATGTTTACAATCATGAAAATATTCTTTTTTATTAGTATACAATAATTACGACAAAAAAAAAACAATATACTATGATTAACCCATAATTACTAATTACCAACCATATGACATTTAACATTAAAATAATGCAATGAATATTAGTATCAAAAAGTTATTATTATCATTATTATTATTATTTTTATATATTTTTCAATATCACCAGAAATAATATTTATAGAGAAACGAGAAAAAAAAAGCAAACATAAAAAGAGACATGATCTATAAACATATTGTCAATGATAAAGATTACGTGTTAATCTTGTTCTCTGTAGTTCCTGAGTTCGTCGCTCTCGTCTTGCTATTGGTGTTTCACCAAATTTTAATAATTGTTGTTGTGATCCAGCATTTGTTTGACTCAATGAACTTTGTAATAAACCACTTGCACCACTTGGATCTATTTATATATTAGAAAAAGAAAAAACAAAAATCTTCATTTAAATTCCATAGGATAATTTAATTTTTACCTTGTGATAATGATAAACTACTACCTTGTATTGGTGGTAAAATCAAACGTTGTTCTGGTGGACGATTTTGACTGGTTGACCTACATAAGAAGTTTGATTTGATTTAAAATAAATAATAAATTATTAACAAAATAATCAAAGCAAGCAAGTGTATATGTGTAGAGCAACGAAATAAAGTAAAATATGAATATATGATCTATCTGATACCTCGGTGCGATGAACTGAGGCGGCGAAAGATTAAGACGACGAAGAGGCAATTCACTGTTTATGTATATTAATTCTGGTCATTTTATTATTATAAATGAAAGAGAAAAGAAAAGAAAAATACATACTGTCGAAGTGAAAAATTTTTTCCAACAGTTGATGATGAAGCTACAGATCGTTGTTGTGATTGATTTCCAATATTATATAATGTATCGATTGGTGTTGTTGATCTTGCCATGGAGCTGTCATTAATATGTGTTGACGCTAAACAATCACGAATAAGTATTTTTGATGTTGAACTTAATCGTTCAGCATGAAGTATTTCACGTAATACAGCTCGTAATCTTGCAATCTAAACAATTTATTGTTTTTGAAAACAACCAAAAAAATAGCTCTTAGCGTAATCCCTGTGTGATTAAAATGTGAAACATAATGCTTCACTCTTCTGTTACTTAATCCTCTAGAAATGCAATAGGAAAGTAGTTTATATATTGAAACGAGATTTTATTGACATACAATCTGTGATCGTCGATCAAAGTCTGTGATGGACCTCTGAATGCTAGAAGTAGTGACTGAAGGCTGGGAAGAACGACACTCATTGTGATCTTCTCCCTACCATCAGATCGTCCCTCCTTCAATCCTAGTCACTTCGCAACGACATTGTTAGCTTATTTTTATTTCACTCTGTTAGAGTAAGGCAAGCGATGTGTTAAAATCCGATGTCTGTCCAAAGTTACTACGAAATTGTAAGAACTCTGAAGGAGAACGTTGCTAAGACGTCTGTCATGATCGACGGGGAAGGAGATCCAAATTTTTACCCCTATACTTTGCTATTGCATTTAGATCATGTTTCACAAAAAAAAACAACTTATATCAATAAAATAATAATTAATAAATTACTTCGAGTACTTGTTGTCGTTGTTTTTCATAAGAAACTTGAAGTAAATGTTGATAATCAGCGTCATTCATTTGTGTTTTTTCTGATTTATTAGTTTTATTATCATCATCAATAGAAGTTGTTATATTGACATCGGATGATATACTTAAATAAAAAGAAAAATTAATTCTCATATAGAGGAAAATTTTTTTTAAAATTTATTTTGCTTGAGTTACTTCGGATCTGGTAATAGAACTGGTACAGCAGATGAAGATGATGTCTGTGATGTTTGAACAGATGATGTTTTATTTAATTCATCAATCGTACGCATTAAATATTCATTTTTTTGTTCAGTTTCAATTAATCGGTTTTGAAGTTCATCAATTTGTTTTTCAAAATGAAGACGTTGCACTTCTTGTAGACGTTTTTCTGATTAATAGAAATAAGTAAATTATATTTAAATCAACTAAAAACATAACTTCAAAAAAAAATAAAAATAAAAAATCAATCTAGTGTCAAAAGAAAACATAGTGAACAAAAAAAAATATATATATATTCCAAATTCCACTGCAAACGAATCCTATTTATCATACCATCGGACTCTGTTATAATTGATTCTATAATTGAAAATAATTGATTTTTGAAATTCTCGATTGAGAAAAAATAAAGAAAAAAACAAAAAAAAAAGATTTTTCTTTTTATTCATACCAAGATTTGGTTCATTTAGTGAAAGATTAGCTAATTGTTGTAAATTTGGTACTGTTTCAGTTTTATGTTGTTTATTTGTAGATGAAGATGATGGACGAATATCAGCCATACGAAAATGAAGATCTAAAAAAAAGAAAACAATTTTTCATTATTATTTATTTTATTTTATTTAAATTTTACCTCGATTTTCTTGTTGAAGTCGATTTATTTCATTATGTAAATCACTTAGAGTTATTTCATGTTGTTGTTGAACATAACGAAGATTTCGTTCAAGTAATTCAACACGTGAACGTGGATCAACCGTTGGTGTTGGTGAAGGTGTTGTTGATGGTGAGATTATTCTTATTTCATCATTTGTTGGTAATAATGAGGAATTTTTTCGTATAATTATACGGGACGCAACAGGAGCTGGTATACGCCGTGATGTTGGTTTAGACATATCACCATCACTATCGCCAGGTGACTGAAGTGTATGGCTGTGAAGTGCTGATACGCGCTCATCGACAATCGATTGTCGAATCATCTAATGATATATCATTAAAATATCAATAAAACAAACTTAAGTCTAAAGTAAACAAGTACAATGGAGTGTAAATTAACTGACAGAACCACCATAAACAGTAGAGCATGTCATGGAAATCGTAGAGAATATATGTAGAAATAAAGATGGCGCTAGACTCTGTAAAATATAAATGAACAAAATCGATAAGATAAATTCTTGTGATTTCTTGTCTGACTCTTTTACGATAGTATACAGAGAATATTTTTATAAATAAAAATACAATTAATAGAATTGACTAATAAAACAAAATATGTGTTCAACTGTATGTATCAAATAGATTTATTAAAATATTTTCATGCTTTTACAGAGAGAGAGCGAAATGCTTAACAGCAATGCATAACCATCCAGCAAATATTTGACGTTTATAATCCTAAGCGGAATAGATGATAAACGGTTTTAAAACTTGCTTGAAACTATTGTCATTCGATCGATCACAATGAGTAGTGAAAAATACGTTTTAATTGGGTTTTCCAATGTTTGCTTGTCGGGTTTTGAATGTTTTATTCAATTTTTGTCTGAGAAGCATAGAATCACTGAATATTTGGATGATTAAATTTTCGGCTGAAATTGTGTTTATAGACATGCATTGAGATCACTGGTAACTATTCAAGGCTCAAACAAGGATAAACATATTCTTATTAAGATATCAGCTTATCATGAAAATGCCATTCTTTTGAAACACAACCAAAAACAGCCGTTTATTTAAAATATAAATACCATGACACAAATGCATTCATTTCGACTCAGACTTTGACAAGTTTCTAGTAACTATGAGACATATCTATGAAAGAACTTTCAGTTCACGATCTGATCATCCAAGTTCTCAGCGATTCTATGCACATTAGACAAAAATCGAATAAAACGGACATAACTCGACAAACGAAAACTGAGAACTCAAACTAAAATAGACTTTTTGACTATTCATAAACGATCGATCGCATGGCCACAATTTCAAATAAAAAAAACGATTTGACACTTGGGAACGTTTTTCCTCATCAAAAAACACTATCTACACACAAAGATTGTTATTTCTATTGCTCTCTTGTACAGAATTTTGCATTATGAATTAAAAAATTCTTACATTATTGATTCTATATAAAGTTCTCTGGTAGATTTCGTAAACTATATTGTTCAAAAAATGTCATCTCCTTCAATTGATTGATATTTTAACGTATCATCGTAGAAGCTACTATAGAAATATCTGTAACAAAAACGATGGATAGATTGTTTTGTTACTACTGCAGTATTTATTTTATTGTTGATCAACCTTGAGAAACCGGAGGAGTAGCACTATCACTATCCTCGGTGTATGATATTCACTACACTACTCCATTACATCAGTTCTCTCCGTTCCATACAGAATACGAGCTTATTTACGAAAGAGGAAATAAGAAGAAGAAAGAGGAAAGGATAAATAGAAGACAGAGTGGGAAGGCCGCTACTATCGTTCATGAGATCAGAACATCTAGCCAAAGGGTAATGGTTTGCTCTAACAACATTGAACAAATATAAAATGCACAAAGGTCGTGCCCTTATCATCGGCACAATATCATCAATAGCTATACAGTAAAATACTTACACTAAGATGTGTAATCTGATCGGCTGAGCCGCTGTTACTAATTTCGGCCGCGGTGTGGCAGCAGCAGCTTCTTTTGCAGAGAGATGGTAAAGTTGTATGAAATTGCATCCGATTTGAGTGTCTACAAGTCTAATAGTTAGAATCGTGGTACATCTGATAGATTCCACCTAACTGTGCTGATTTAGCACAATGACGAAAGAGATTTTCGAAGAATATCTCGAAAACTATCGCGGTAGCGGCAGGTTTTCAGCGTTCTACGTGAAATTTTGCTCATAGACAGGTTTACTTGTGACTAGAATACTCTGAAAATGTTAGCTCTCAAAAGAACGTTTTTTTTTGTGAGATTTTGAATTTCCGAAGAATCTCAGGTTTTGGCACCTTGCGCCTAAAATGAGTGGATTCTGAAGGAATGTTTTAGTCACAAATGAATCCATCTATGAGTAAAATTTTAGGGAGAAATATCGTCCTTCAATTTGTGTGTACAAACCATGCCATTGTCTAAAACTCCAGTAAAATGACTATAACTCTGAAGTAAAAGTCAAAGGATACTGATCCTTATAGATCTTTTCATATCTCACTCAAGTCCACCTTAAGAATAGAATACAAACTTGAAAATGATTACATCATTTGAAATCATTGCCTCATTAGTAGTATATCAATTATTTTTTTATTAATATATCGTATCATTGACAACTAGCGACAACTATATCTAAGTAAATTTTCTCTTCTTTTTCTGATTAGTTAATATGTAATAAAAGATAGAAAAAACAAAACTGAAATTACGTTCGTTTATTCGCAATACATTTGAATTTCACATTCGGTTTTCTTATAGATAAAGAATGTTGAAATCAGAAGTAACTCGTGTATCTGGTCCATCAACATCATCACGTCGTCGTTCATCATCAAATTCTCCCCTTTATGAAAAATCATCTAAACGATATCGTCGAACTCCAACTCCATCATCAGAATCAGAATCAGATTATGATGATGATGATGATGATGATAAATATGAACAAAAACGTAATAAAGATGATGATGAAGAAGAAGGTGAAGTACCATCAAAACCAACTTCAAATCCTCCTTCAACTCAAACAACGCCTGCTGTACCGCTACGTACTGGTGGACTCTATATGCCACCAGCCAAACTTCGTCTTTTACAAGTAAAATACTTTCAAATCATCAACATAGATTTATATTCTTCTTGTTTTTTTTTTAATTAGGCATCATTAACTGATAAATCAACACCTGAATATCAACGTATTGCATGGGAAGCTTTAAAAAAAACTATTAATGGTCGTGTTAATAAAATTAATACATCAAATTTAGCATTAATTATTCGTGAATTATTTAAAGATAATATTGTTCGTGGTCGTGGTTTACTTGCTCGTGGTATTATTCAAGCACAAACAGCATCACCATTTTATACATCAGTTTATGCTGCATTAGTTTCTGTTATTAATACAAAATTTCCACAAATCGGTGAATTAATTGTTAAACGTCTTATATCATCATTTCGTCGTACATATATGCGAAATGATAAAAGTAATTGTTTAGCAACAACAAAATTTATTGCACATCTTGTTAATCAAAATATTGTATGTAATCTTTCAAAAACCCTAAGAAAAAAAAAAGAATACTATGTTTAATTTTTCTTTTTTGTTTTTTTTTCTATTTAGTTACATGAAATAGTTGCATTACAAATACTTGTACTTTTACTTGAAAAACCATCTGATGATAGTGTTGAATTAGCTATTGGATTTTTAAAAGAATGTGGACAAAAATTATCACAAGTTAGTCCACGTGGATTAGATTCAGTATTTTCAACATTAAGAAATTTATTACATGAATCATCATTAGATAAACGTACACAATATATGATTGAAGTTTTATTTGCTGTACGAAAAGATCAATTTAAAGCTAATCCATCTATTCCATCTGGTCTTGATTTAGTCGATGAAAATGATCAATATACACATATGATTACATTAGATGATGAATGTCAACCTGAACCAATGCTTGGTAAAGATATATATGTTGAATAAAAAAATAAAAGATTTTTTTCTTGTTTTCAATTTAGATGTATTTAAATATGATGAAGCATATGAAGAAAATGAAAGAAAATATAAAGAAATTCGAAAAACAATTCTTGACGAAAGTAGTGATGATGAAGATGAATCAAGTTCGGATTTATCTGATGGTGATGAAGATAATGATAAAAAAAAAGATGATGTTGATGAAGAAGAACAAGAAGGTGATCAAGTTGAAAGTAAGTAAAAATAACTTTTATTTAGAACAAATCAAATAATTACAAAACTATATCATTTACTAATGACAGAACTTCTAGAATTGAATAAAACAAGAAGGATTCAAGTCCATAGATCTTCTCTATAGAAGTTTTATTGGATTTTCGAATTGAAATTTTATCGATAAGTAAATCTGATAATCCTAACAATGATCAATTAATTGATTTCATACAATCCAATGAATTCGAGAAACAGAATTTTTTAACAATGAACTGTCATATAACGTTTCATTTTGTATAAAATTACAACAGGGATATGTTACTTAATTATCAAAAAAAAAATGTCTATTAACTTTTCAAAGTGCACCTATCAAAAACTTCATTTTTCAAATCTGACACATTTTATTCTATTTAAAATAAAACATAGTCGCTTCCAGATTTTATAATATCTACTTTCTCTAATAACTGATTAGTGTTAAATCTTCACTTAATCCCTAAATCGGTTCTCTTCTAAAGATAGCAATCAAGATTAGATCATTTTCTCGGAAATTTTGCAAATGTCGATGAATAAATATTTTCCTCCAGTTTTACATCGACAGATATTCGTTTTCTTTCAATAGTAAAAACCTCAGTATCATCATAGCATACTGACTAAGTTATGATATACACCTGTCCTCGTAGTTAATGTACGGGGAGCTCAAGCGATTAAGTATAAGAAGTTTGCGTTAGACTGGCCTTATACCGAAAGGCAGGAATATTCTTTCTTTTAAAATCATACGAAATGAATCTTCTGTAAATTTTAATCTTTTTATTTTTTTCTTCTTATAATAGAAAAACAAGATACAATTATTGATCAAACCGAGACAAATTTAGTAACACTTCGTCGTACAATATATTTAACAATTCAATCAAGTATTGGTGCCGAAGAATGTGCGCATAAATTACTTAAAATGAATCTACGTCCGGGACAAGAAGTATGTTGTTGCTGTTGTTGTTTTTTTGAGAATATTCAATTAATTTTATTTAATCTAATCATTAGATGGAATTGTGTCAAATGATTCTTGATAGTTGTGCACAACAACGAACATATGAACGTTTTTTCGGTTTACTTGGTCAACGTTTTTGTTTATTAAAAAAAGA